AGATAAGGAGCCGTTAACTGTTTCACCGTAACCTTCGTTTGCTATTGTTTCATTGGATGAGCTTGAAAGTCACTGAAGTATGCACCCCTGGTACGATATACATGTATTCAGGTTCTCTCCCGCCCCTCCCCTTTCCGCAATGGAGACACTCCCCCTTCCTTTTTTATAAATGCTGGATATGCCAATGATCATGCTTTTTGCAGGCACTGGTGTTTACATACATGTCCATGTACCTTCAAAGTATGAAATGAATTAGGGGTGTGCATTTACAGATATTTTTGAAACCGGGTACCCATTTTAGGAAGTGACTACATGTAGATACTAACCCGTGAAACCTGGTCTGCTATTTTTCTCAAGACTCTTAGAGGGTTCATGTTTGGACTCTGTTTCTGTATCAATTGAAAAAGGAAATCCCAAACACAATGATAAAATTGGAAAATGAATAGCACAAATGGGTCGGATTCGAACCAGGGACTATGGATCTGTAGTTCAAATCACTACCAACTAAGCTATCGAAGCGACGTAATGGATTCCCGTTTTTGAAATGTCCTAAATGGTGTATTGCATTGTCCCCTCTTCATGAATCATTTGTCACCCCAGCTACTGAAAAAAAGTAGCGCACCAGGTTTCACGGGCTAGTATTAAGTTGCTTCCCCCATTTTATGTCAATACAGGGTGCCCGGGTAGTCGGGTACCCTTAATATATAAATAACACTAAACCAAGGGCATTGCATGCAATCCCGGTAGACCATACCTGTACATGTACATGACCAAAACAGGGCTCTTTTGTAGTACTGGGTACATAGGAAGGAAGCATTAGAGGGAAATCTCCCCCACCTTTGCATTAAACGAAATTATTACCCTTAGTTTCTAACAAAAGTTGCTCTGTCAATCTCTGAAAACTTAGTTTGGCAGGGTTCCAGGCGCCGTTCGCTATTCTCGCCAATTGGCGAATAATTATAATTTCGGCTGTTATTCTATTGACCTGGCAAGAAAAATTGGTAATTATGTTGCAAATCTAGACCAACCTTACCACATGTTCGTCACTGAAATGTCATTGTGGTATTTTAAAATCACAAACACTTCCCATTCATTGAAAAAAATTTGTCATGGCCCTAGTCCTGTTGAGCTTAGGTCCGTGAACAGGTATGCGTGGGCTCCACATGTACTTGCGTTGTACCTCCTGGGCCTTGAACATGAATGGTACACTGGATGCCTTGATGAGGGTTGCTGCTGAAGGTCCTCCAAGAAGTGTGTTTGATTTCCATCAGGTATTCAAACCGTGGTCTGATGAAAAACCTGGAAGAATTCTTGGTATCTGAATCATTTATATGTGTATGTACTCTTCACACTTACTTACCGGTATCTTGGAAATAACTTCCAGCAAAACGTGTGAAATATGAGATTTATGGAAATAAATTCCAACAAACGTTTGAAATATGAGATGTGTAAGATGTAGTTTTTATTAAATGTTAGTCTGTTTGTAATAATTGATCCATCTGAAAAGCAGTTCACACATACTGAATTGAATCAGAGTAACAGGTGTTTTAGTTTATTTTCAAACAAATTTGGCTACCAAAATACATAATGTTGCCTCATACATACATTTGTAGATAGGCTATAAAATCAAACATTTTGCTACCACTTTGGCTATTCATTGAAGTTTTCCAGCTGGAACCCTGGTTTGTTATGACCGCGAGACTGGGCTTTTCAGCAATTCTGCCCTTCACTATTAAAGTTCATACTGGTACGTGGAATTTCGTTTACGGGTGCCCAGCATGGCATTATGGAAATAAATGTTGTTGAATTGAATTGAATTGAATTCTAAATTTAGTTGTCACATTGGAACTGAAATCTAACTATCACTCAATCACTGTGTGTCATCCATTGTTGGGTGTGGTTTTGACATGGTTGTAAAGATAAATTCATTTTTCCAATAGTCATTAAGACTATCATTGGAAAATTGTAATTGATATGAACTGCAGTAGCAGGTTGGATGCAGTGGTTTCTCTATTGATTGGTGGCACTGTATTGCTTGTTTACTGAGAAGGAAACAATGTCTTTTACGGTACATACCATCAACAATTAATGGGTCACACTGTTGTGATATTTACTTAGTTGGCGACTGATGACTACATCAGGCCATCGTAAAATTATTTGATGATAGTAGCAGTCACATAATTACCTGGCTATCCACAGTGTTACTCTTAATGTGGAAAACCTATAAAATTTCATATTAGGCGTACCGTACTGTTTATCTACCGTACTGCCGATACATACATGTACATGTATGTGTGTACATGTGCATATACTTTGAGGAGAACACTTTTGTTTTGGTGTGTCTTAGACATTCAGTTTTTATACATTTGACCAGACTGATTTTTTGTTCACTTCCATGCTGACTCCTCGTGCAACCTGCTGTTGCTTAGCAACCTGCTATATATTGTACTTTCTACATCCCTGGCTGGGGTGTAGATAAAAGAGTGTGTTCATCGCGCTGCTTGAAAAGGCAGAGCTCTTTGGAGATCGAAGGCGGGCCTAATGTGGTACGCTTCAGTGTTAATGTCACAGACGAACAAAGTGGCATGGCAAGTCATGAAAAGATGTCATTCTCTCACTAAACTGCAGTGTTATTTTCTTGACATAAAATCTTTGTCATCTTTTCGCCTAATTCATATACCTGCGAGCTTGTCCAACTTGCCAGAATCTTACTGCCTTGTACACATACATGTACGCATACATGTCTCTGGATCCCAACGATCCCCAACCATCCTATCAACTCTAGCATCAGGATATCGGTTCACTTGTTGGAATCCACTACGACTTGTACTGCACTAGTACATGTACACACCTACCTGTTTTACAAAGTGTGGACATTCTTTTGTTCGCCTGTGGTTAAGGAAACTTGAGGGAAATGCTCCTTTTTCTCTAACTAGGGTAACTCCTTCAAGTTGGATTTTTATGATGATTTCCAGGACTGTTCCTCTTCATTTTGCCACGGATAACCTTGACCCCAAAATGCCTCTGAAGCTGTTTTTCAGAGACCTGGAAACATTGTGTGGACGTGTGCGAGTCCACACTACACCAACGCACCCTACATTACATGTATGTGGACTTCTTTTGTGCAGAGGTCCACACAATGTACGGTATGCCATGCCTGCACATGTAAACTGACTTTGTTCTACGTACGTTTATGCTCAACACAGAGTCCAACTGAATGATGTTTGCAATTTTCAAGAATGAGGAAGATTGTAAGGCCGATTTACACACATGATTCATCAGTGATTGAAAGCAGTAATACTACACGATATTTTACATTTGCTCTGGAGCCGAAAGCAGCTCAGTAGTTATGTTAATGACGTCCCTTAAATAGCTATACCATACGGGTAGCAGGCAGACCGTGACGCCATGCCCGGTGATAATGCTGATTAACCAGACTGTTAAGTCTCGGTGCAGTATCTTTGGAGAAATTGTGCTTCCTAATCGTGACAGTTTATCGAGCAGCTGCATGTTATTTTTTTTTCTGTTCTCAATGTAATGAACCTACATGTAATATAAAAACCATATATTTTTGACTGCCTAGAATTTCGTTATGTGCACATGTCTACATGTAAATAGGTGTGGCCATTTGGGTCGTCTATTTCTGTAACTTGCTTTGAACCAAATTGGTTTTAACTTACAAGAATTATTAGTTTTAGTATGTCTAGCCAGAAGGGGTTGTCCATAATAACAATTAATGACCGGTTTTTATGTAGTTTTTTTAACTACAAAATCAAAGTGTTTTCCATTATTACCCAAACATGGTTGTCCACGGCAACCGGGCATGTCCATTCAATGTGAACAGCTTTTCATAAAGTCTTTTCCTTTTAGTTGTTTTTGAGTAGCGTTTCTTCTTTATCTGATTACGCTTTGTTTGTGCATGAACTTATCTGCTCAAATTTACAAATGTAGGTCATCAAGAAACAGTTTTTAAACATTTTACCCCAACTGAAGATCCCACTCCCTAAAATAAATTTTCACAATCACAAGTGTTTATTTGTGATGTTGTCAAGGAAATATATTTCCTTTGATGTCACTCTACCTCTGATGACAAAAAACAAGCCCACTCTGAGTCTGGGTTTGCAACCACATCCCACACCCAACCCACGCGTTATATCCCCTAACCCAGGATTTCGGCAACCGAACAGTTGGGCTGGGTGCTGGCATGGCCCAGATTTCCTTTTGGACTGTTTCATTTTGGCACAGGGGTGTGTGGAAACAAGAAATACACGTAATACCCTTTAATCTGACTGTTGGGCTCTTGGTCAATAATGAAGGTTTCTGGAAGGTTTAGAGGCAAAAGTGCAACTCGGTCTATTTTACTGTAAAGAAATTGAAGCTGTTCATGTTTTTTTTTTGTACATTTTTCCCCAAGCTAACCCCCCCCCCTTTTTTTAGAGTGGGGGCCCTGCTGTATCAAAAGAACACCTGGGATTAATACCATTTGAAAACTGTTGACCAGTTCCCATTCATTGGAACTGGAAGATTACATTTAGAATTGAGGGGATTGGGAAGAGGTTCAGTTTGGATTTGGAACTTTTTATTTATTTGTTAGCCACATCCAATTGCAGGACTGGAAATAAATAAACTCAAATAAAAAACATTGTAATTTAAATTGTGACATATATTTATTAAAACACTAGATAAAAAATAACGGATATGTACATGTATGTGCATATATAAATAAATAGAGAATACACGTAAATAGATCAGTTAACTTGTGAAAATAGTGCCCAGAATCTGATGTACTGTTCAGAGGATTTCATTCGTGGAAACACTAAATTGCTGAGTTTGGACAGCGAGAAATATAAGAGTGTGTCCTTGAAGCTGAATGGGCCATTCCAGTCTGCGTGAACCATACCAATTTAGAGAGCCCCTCCTTTTTTCCCTTCTCCCCATCTGACATATGCAATGAACCATAGTGTCAGAGGTCACATTTCAGGGATGGGCCCATGGGCTGATCATATCTAGGCCTACATGGGATATGTATACACAACTGTGAAACAGAAAGTGCATATGGATTGCTGTTTGTGAAAGTGTTTGTTGTGAACTCAAAGTCTAGCCTTTCGCTTGTGGAAAAAAAGTTCAACTTCCAGCTTTCTCCTTGAGAACAGAGTATATCTAGTGGATTTTGTTACCAGGTAGTGTGGCCATTGTTAATTTTGTCTTCAGAATTTTGAACATTTTGAAAGAGTTATCGGGATATTTGTGGTATTTTGCCTGCATGAGAGTTTAATTTGTTTCTCAGTACGAGATTTAGATGCTCTTTCTGTTCTAAGCCTCACAAAAGAAAACTACTCCTGAGAAAAAAGTAAAGCATTAAATTTTGGGCTAAAATGTTGCATCCTGACTCCACTTTTCTCATCATAGGCCCCACCTATCATCTCAATAAAAGTGGGTCATTACAGAAATGCTGGAAAGACACGAATTCTGGACTGAGAAACATTGACTAATGTTGTTGGGAAATACTTAGAAAATTCTCTTCACTCCCCATAGCCTTTGTACACAACTGCTGAAGTGGAGTCAGGATGCAACATTTTTTTCCTAATTTTGTTTAAAACTGTTCAGTTGAGGTTGAAAGAAAAAAAATGATTGAAGTGTACACGTAGTAGGCTTATTCTGCTTTTACTTGTTACACTGTCATTCTCAAGTTTCAGTTGAATCTCTTGCAAGTTTGCATGTTATTAACAATTAACAATTATTGTTAACAATAACAATTTGAAAATAATTTTGGAAAGAGATCTATGTATGGACAGCGCCAGTTTTCCCTTAGACTGTTACAACAGCTGTCAGAAAGTGATCAAATGTCCTAAAAAGTGAAATTTACACATGGAAATGAGAAAATTCTGATGTGTTTCACACAGATTTGTGTGAAAGTTTGTGAAACGTTTTCCATTAAGCGTCCGGTTCCTCACAGAAGTTGCACTGTTAGTGTTACCTTGTGAATGAAAGTCAGTAGATACACGAATCCACCGACTTGAGTAAGGACAACACTTGATGCCCCTGTGCACAAACTTATGAGACTTGTCTGAAAAAACCCAAGTGTTTTCGAAGTAAATGCTTCATAATTGTCGTAGCTAAACTTCATTTTTTAGGACTTGTTATCACTTTCTGATGGCTGTAATAACATTTCAAGGGAAAATTAGTGTTTTCCGTGTAGAACCCTTTCCCACGTTTATTCTTAGTGCTCTGAGAATCATGCCAAAAGCAAATTTGTTTTATTGGCAACCAGTCAATGCAGTTTGAGTTTTCCCTTCACAAAGGCTCTTTGCTAATGTGCAAAGAGTTGACCTGTTGTGCTAAAAGTAAATCTGAAAATGGGAGATGGAGACTTGTAATTTATGGCTGGCTGTCGGGCACACATGTACATGTACCTGTCATGACTGGCAAGACTGTAAGAAATACATGTACCGTGTCCTTGTACAAGACCAGACGAAATGCTTTATCACTGACTGCAGTCAATGAAAATTTGAAAAAAGCCTTTACTTTGTCCAACCGGACAAAGGGATCTGGGCTTTATGGTACATGTAGTTTCCAGCAACCAGCTCCAGCAGCCAGTAGACTGATTCCATTGTTGCCCTTGGCCCTGTACCCATCAAATAGAGACTGAGTAGCTATCTGCGGCTTCTTTCTCTCGCTGTGTGAGGACGTGCCGCTTGGAGTACCTCTCAAGTCCTCTGTTGTTATTCAAACACCTGCATCAGCTGGTGTGGGATCATCCTTCACAATGACCAGCACTCCTACAGGTGTATTTATGATGTTTTTGAGCCAAGGAATGTAACCATCCAAAGGTGAAACCTTTTTTAGCCCTAACCTTCCCCAACCACACAGAATTAAACAGTAGTAAAGTGTTTCATTCTGTGGGGATAGGTCTGGTAGGCCCATAACAGCTGGCTTTTGCATTGGGTTTGGCATACCTCAGAAAAACAAAGTCCAACAGGCACAGTGCACAAAGTCCCATATTAACTTTGTGTGAATGGGGAAGGTTAGGTCCAGCAACCCTTGGGCAGTTGAGGTGAAAGGTAGATTTCCCCATTGGTAACATCACAAAATTGGGACTGCAGAATACATGTAATCTGTGGACGTCTAACGAGAATACTGGTAGGTGTAACAGCCTCATACCTCCTAGAGTTGTGTTACTGTCAAGAAAACAGAAAAGTATGATTCGTTTTTCCATACCACATCCGGTTTAACGGGTGTCGATTTTTGGTTGTGGTCTGTGTAGACTTACCCTGGTGTCTGAATAAACACGTAACACTAATACACATGTGGAAGCAAAAACACACCGGCGGAAATTCACTGAACGCGGCGTAAACTGAGAATAGAGGAAACTTAGTTTAAGGGAACAAGTAATTTAAGAGAAATTGGGTCAATTCAAAATAAATTATTTGGAAAAAAAGAATTTTTTTTTTAAAGTGAAAATAAAAATCTTGCAGTCACCACCAAAGTAATTGACTATCGGTTGAGCTTAGAAAACATGGCTGCTGCTTCCAAGCTGCACAGTGAGAAAGTACAATTTTCAGAAGTGAAACATCTAGTGTTGCCAGATGTACATGTAATTTCCTGTGTGCCCATGATTAGTAGTTAGTCAACTGGGAATTGGTTTTAGACTTCTTTGACTCGTCAACTGATGCAAAAGTTCGGTTATGAAGTACCGGGTATAATCACGCATGCACAGGCACTTGTCTCAGATTGGAGTCAGCTGCATGCACAAACGTCATCGCCTGATGATGTTTCTTCTATGAATCCCACAATGCTACTCAGTATATTATCAAAGAGACACAAGATGTATTCATTGATTACTCTTGGCCGAGGAAAAACCTCTTTTTAAAGGGAAAGAGCACCTGTCCTGTTTGTTCATTTGCAGATGGATGGGCCCCTCTAGATCTTTGTGCGTTGTTCACTTACCGCGAACGCCCTGTACCATAAATGTAGTTCATGGATTATTTTGCCCAAGAATAAATACTAGATCTTCCCCTGCTGTGTTTCTCTTGATTTTTCCCAAAGCAGCTACATGTACTTGTAACTCAAACATGAAGCAGGTTAGTGAAATGCAGTAAATGTCATTCCCAACAATCAGCCAATCTAGTGAAATTACGTCAAAAGACCAACAGTGTATCCTCCCCTTACATGTGAATCATAACCTGCTAAAGGTAAGCTGGCTAAATATAACAGTTTTAACCAAATTCAGTCATGCCAAAGCTGGAAAGTTTTACATCATTCTTTAGTGGAGGGGTGTAGGGCTGAGTGCAGCAATGGAATCTCTGTCCTATTTATATTCAGGTGATCAATGTTGGTCTCACTGCAGAAAGTGAGGTGCCAAAATGTGCCAAAGGATATGTCGGTTCAATCCCAAAATTGATGATTTTTGTGTGTATTCTAAAAAATCACTTGTAGCGTCCATGGAAAAGAAAAATTTCTGTTCGCGGTGTGGTAATGTCTTGAAAAATCCCAGTGTGTATACATGTACATGGCCTAAGGCCTGCATCATGATTAGCAATGTACATCCAGGTGGCCTATTGTCCTTATGTGGGGTAGTGTACATTGTACATACATGTACTTTGTAGGAGTAAACACATGTACCTTTGTACACAAGTGTAGCCGTGCAGCAGTATTCCTTCCCCCTCCATGAATCAGGTGTTTGATTTCACCCTGGGGGGAGCTCGTCTTTTATACTGTACTATGAAAGCTGCTCATAGGTCAAGATTCTGCCTCTCTCTGGTCTTTGATTTGTGGAGTTTTGTTACCAGACTGCTAGGGAACTGAATTCGGTATGGCCAACATCATCACTAAGGGCTGTGGTATGCGGGAAATTTTGCTTGGCTGGACTGGGTTACCAGCCAAAATGCCCTGTGACATACACGAATTCCGACTGGTTCACTGCGGATCGATGTACATGAGTAAATGTAGCAAGCAGTGCTTTCTGCTTGGCCTCTTTCCGAGTCATAGAATCTAAAAGTATCAAAATTGTCCAAATTTTCAAAATCTCCACTGGCCACTAGTCCAACTATCCTGACTCCTGAAAGCAGGCACTTTCTGCTTTAAGTTAAGTACAGTACAAAATTTAAAAACCCTCTGATAACAAATATCTTCAACACTGGTGAAAACATCTTTTTACACTGTCCAATTAAAGTATTAATTAGGTCAAGTGGAAAATATGGACTCAGACAGCGCCATGCAACACTAGTTTCAAAAAATTTGCTTTGATGAGTGAACAGGCATTTGTTTTCACAAAAGACAAGAAGGTCTTAGATTAAATCGTTGTTGGATTAGCCAGCCAAGATCTTTACGTACAGCTTTCAAATTTGCTTGAATTTATCCGCAGGGATGTACACGAAGAATGCGCCCACATGGCGCACACGTTCCTTGCCAGATACTGCTCTTTGCCCTGATTTCCTGAGGCTTTGTCTTGGATTGCATCATTGCAATCTCTGTCCTTCCCCCCTCCCTCCGAGGTCAAAAACTACCCGGCTCCTATATCCCAGGAGAATGCCCGAGACTGAGACCCATCGCTTCTATCTGAGGCCATTGTTTCCACTGCGTCTCAGTATTTTGGAAGGAAATTGTGATTACCACATCATGATTTCCACGTATGTTATTAAAGAAAAGGGTGATCCTGTACACATTAAATTAATGTCTCAGTGTGTTTTTACCTGTCCCCAGGACAGGTGGACTGTAGTGGCTTAATGGGACTCTGCTCATGTAATTAAATCCTGTGCAAGTTGTGCATGGTATAAGTATACGGAATACTGTACATGTCTATGATTCTATGTACATGTAATGTACATAACGTCAACTGCATATTCCATCCAAAGCACAGTGTACAGTCCCGTGACTGCCTGCTTCCAATACAGTGTTTGCAAACAATAGTCTATTCAGAAACCCCAGGCCTGTAGGAACAAACAAGGACACAAATCTCTTGTGAAATCAGTCAATATAATTTCAGCGTGGGTTGAAATTGTAAGTCGGCGGTGAATAGAGTTTGGTTGTTTGGGATATCTACATTGTAATATAGGGATACGCACGGTACATGCATGTGTACATGTTGCGGTGCACGTACATCATGGCAGTCATGTGGAACAGCTGTTGGAAGAAAAGATTTGGTTGTTTATTATATTTCCACCGACAAGCAGAAAACCTCAGATTTTGTTCTTTTTTTTTTTTTATTCAAAACTTGGAAGGACAGAAAAGCACTCACAGACAGACATGGAACTTTACCTCTACAGGATGTAAAAGTCATTTTGATTTTAACTGTATCCCAATTAGAGGTAATCTATTGTTTCAGATTGTACATCTGATTAACAATTCACTTGACATTGTTTCGGAGCACTTGTCTCGTGGGCCCCCTCTGTGTGAGAGTATTAAAGGGATTCAAAGTTTCAAAATGCAGGTCTGAATGACAGGCTTCGTTTACTCATGAGAAAAAATGTTTGAAATTAAGATATAATTTTTTTTTTCCTGTGAACAATACTGGAAAGCAGAAAACTTTGCTTAGCAACTTTTTGTGCCAAGTGAAAAATGAGCAGTCGGCTACATGTACTTTATATGCAGTGCAATGTATATGCAAATTCAATGGTGTGGCGTATGCAGAGTTTGGCTCTTACAAAATCTTTGTGCATTTAATTAAGCTTTGTGGAGTCAAGTCCAAGTTAGAATCTGTGCCCATGTGTGTGACTATATGGGTACATGGAAGTTCAGAATCAGCACAGGGGTGGTTTAAAGACGTGGGCCCAAGTTGGAACCTGTGGCCATTTGCATGCTGCTTTCTGAGAATGCGCACAGCGGTTTGAAAACTGGATCGCATGCAAACAATATTTTTATGTTCTTGTAATAAAATATGTCTTGGCATTTTTATATTGATATGCAAAGACAAAATCCAAAATTTGGAATTCCAAATATTCGTGTATCATATTAGTGACACTGCATTCTCTTGACATCAGAATTGGTATTCTCAGGGCAACTCCTTCCAGAGCTGAACCTTACTCCAATTTCCAATTTTTAAGTCTCTGAGACCTTTGTTTTTTTTTTCACTAACTCCAGGTCTTCATTTGGACGGAGCCGTGACAATCTAAGAGAAATCCAAGATGGCTGTCGAAGGTTGTGCCAAGGTCATCAAGTACCTGGTGTTTGTTTTCAACCTCTTGTTCTTTGTAAGTACAGTAGATTGCTGAGCTAGATTTTAAAAATTAGTGGTTAAACACATCAGCCAGTAGTATTGCTGCCAGGGGCTTCACAAGTCACAAATTGGTCATTCCATGAGGTTGGGGCACAATTTGTCACGGTGCCCTTGTTACATGGGTAACTTTCACCACCTGTCCTGACCTGTAGAGTAGGTCATTTACTCTGTATTCAGCGTTACAAGATGTATAACAATGCCCCTCTTTTTTTGTTGCCGTCCACAGCTCTCTGGCTGTGCCATTCTGGCCCTGGGTATCGTCCTGCATGTCAGGGAGGGTGGTTATGCCACTCTCCTGCCCAGCCTACCGTTCCTGAACGCTGCCAACGTCTGCATCGCTGCCGGCATCATCGTCCTAGTTGTGGCCTTCTTGGGTTGCTGCGGAGCCATCAAAGAGAACGCTTGCTTGCTGTTGCTGGTAAGTACGAGTACAGTCATCCTTAAAGGCCTCGAACTTAAGCTTTTTTTTTTCAACCACCCAGCCAGGAATGTTTTTTGTTTTTCACTTTCTACTTGTGCACTTCGCGTTGTTCAGCAAAACCCACTACGACCGGCTTTTTCTTTTCAGCTTGCGTTTTTCAAAATTACTATGGAGTCATGCTGTCGATTTTAAACCTCAAAAAATGGAAGTTAGCAAACTGCTAAATTTAATAATAACAAACACATACCAAGGTACAATCAAATTCAAGTTTCTAACTTTTGTTTGAATCATCTTTACAAATAAGACAAATGACAGCTTCAAATGGGTAATTCCATCGCTATGGACATTACATCTGTATGCACCTTTCAAGTTTCAATTCACAAATTAAGTTGTGCACAAAACGTTTGTTTACTTTTATACGTGTAGCCTATATTGGAGTGTTGAACATATCAAAGAAATTTTGTTTTTAACTTCACTGATCAACGAGCCACAAGCGTAAGAAATAAGCGTGGCGTACGTTACGCATTAGGACATGGCTTTTTGACCTTGAGTACATTTAAATAAAAACTGTGAAGTTGCTTCCTTTAGCTTTTTATACAAACTCTGTTGCAGCTGGTCTGAGTCCATTCCATCCAGACACGAATTGAAAGTTAGAAAAAATACCCCTGTATTGTTCAATTTTGTTAATTAAAGCTGTTACGGATGTTAAATTTAATGTTACCGACATACAGTGTGTATAATTACATGTGTAGAAATATGCATGTCAAGAAAAACGTTAAGAATTATTCTATCAGTTATAACTTTCCATTTGGTATTGCTATGATATCCCCTCGGATTCAGTCAATTGAAGTGTACCCCTAACCAGTAATAGTGCAGAAAAAAAAGGTAAAATCAATTTGAAACTTTGGCAGTCATGCCACATTTGGTGTAGAATAGTCCCATGTAATAATAATGCCCTCCTTTGAATTAACCTCAGGGCGATTTACGTTGACTTACCCAGCAAGACAAAGATGAATTCAAAATGAGTACTTTGTACATGTACGATATGGGCGATTCACAATAGTACACGTCCAAGAGTTTGCAACGCGTTGACCAATCACATTACGCGAAATCTGTCCACCTTTTCCAAGCGCGCATTGGGTAGACGATTTCGCACTCTGTGATTGGTCAGCGCGCTGCAGACTCTCTGGAGGCGCACTATTGACGAACGCCCGTATTGACATCAAAATGAGTCCTGTCCTGTGATGTGCTTTGTACTGTACGTAACTTGGCTGTATTGTTTGTAAACAACATGCAAAACACATGTTGCTATGGGGTGGATACCCACTGTAGGTCATGTGATTTAGTGGGTGCAATCAGTCAACCCCAAAAATCATGGGGAGCTTTGAGTTTCATTACACTGACGCTTTGATATCTGGTTTCTTTCCTCTTCTTGCAGTTCTTCATGTTCCTTCTGCTCATCTTCATCTTGGAGATTGTTGCTGGCATTGTCGGCTTCGTCTACCGTAATCAGATTCAGGAGAGAGTGACTGCAGACTTGAAGGATGGACTCGAGAAATATAACACATCGGGTGAAGAGGGTCTGACGGATGGCTGGAACCGCCTTCAACAAAAGGTGACCGCTGTCTGCCATGCCTGAGTGCATTGTCGTTCCTTGTTGATCACTCAGAATGTTGCCAGTGTTGTGTGGTATACTGCCTTGAGCAGCACCTCCCCCCATCGATTACAAAAGAGCCATGTTGGTGGGGAGCGTTCATTTTGTGGGTAGCGACAAAATCGTAACGCGTGCATTTAATAGTTGTTTTTGAACCAGTGAGGTGCAGTCTCACCAAAGGCATCTCCATTGCTGGGAATAAAGCGCCCTCACTTGGTCCCACTCTAGGAGGAAAGTGGAGTATGTGTGCTTCATAAGCTCCCAGAAACAGGTTTAAAAACGGCCAGTCACCATTGATATGTCAACCCTAACCTCTCCTCAATCCTCCAACATCCTTCGGTTGGTTTTGTAGGATTTTGGAGGATTGAGGGTGAATGGCAAAAGTGCATGGCTTATTATGAAGGTCGTGGGTGAGACCTTGTGTTGTTCCTGCTCAGTCGTGCATAAATTCAGCCTGATATTTCTTTTGGACCAACCGCACTGCTCAAGAATGCCATTCGCACTGCCTCACCATAATGACAGGAATTGCCTGAGGATTTTAAAGGATTGAGGCAGTAGGCATGCAGACCTCCAATGTATATTTCCAAGAACTTTTGGAAGATTGAGGGAGAATCTGAATATCCCCCCCCCCCGGTTTGGAATCCTGCTAAAACGCCATGTGCACAAGGCATCCGTACTAGTGATTGTTTTTGCAAGCACTCAACTTTGGATTCAACCATTTCAGGACATCTCTGCTTCTTTGATTGTCGTTTTCCAATTATCCTTACTTTAATCTCCTTCCCTGCTGTTCACTGTACAGTAGACCGTTTTTTAGGTCCGTCAAAAGTGTATATTGCCCACCCAGTGATTAGTAAATCTATGGCTGGCGGTCAGATCGGAACCAAAAGCAAAAAAAAAAACAATTTATGAAGTGTTAAGTCTTTTACAAAGGTTCAATATTGGATAGCGAATGCTTGTACTGTGAGGAAAATGGTGCATGTTTACCACTGTCTGTGCTTTTTGATCAACAAGTTGCTGCCAATTAATGTGTACTTTCTGCAGACTTCTGCCAACCATGAACAGGTGTAAACAGGAAACGTATACCTCTAACGGTCCCAAAATCCTCTGATTTCAATATGATTTTTACATACACCCTAGGGGGTGAGGGTTAACCTACCTGTATTTTGTGGAGAAATTGTCATATGAGCGTGGACACTGTGTTTGACTAGGGGCCAATTTCACAGAGCTGCTTAAGCACAAAATTTGCTTGAGCATGAAAACACTTGCTTGACAAATCAGGTTACCAGCCGAAACTCCGTGTGACGTATATTGTTTTGGAATGATATTCGTCTGTCTTTTGGTTAGCATGACAATCATTTAGATTTTGAGCTGGTAACCTTTGTTTTTTAAGCAAGGAATTATGTTTGCGCTTAAGCAAGTTTTGGGCTTAAGCAGCTCTATGAAATTAGCCCCAGGACAGCCACCTGTGACTCTTCTACTTTTTTTTTTCATCAGTTGGGGTGCTGCGGTGTCAACAGCTCATCTGATTGGGGTAATAGTGTACCAGATTCTTGCTGTGTAACATTCTCTGACGGATGCGCCGCCCAACCCAGTCCGGACATTTATCAGAAGGTACATAAGAATCTTTATTTTGGGGGGGGGTCTTTTTTATTCTTTGTTTTACATTGTGTAGAAAGCTTTACTCTCAAAAGAAACTAAGCAAGTGACACATGACACTTTTGTATTCAACGTCCAAACTTTCACTGGAGGCATGAGAGAGTGGATGAAAGTGTCGACTTACTTTGACTGTTCACACAGTAAGGGGGTCAATGATGTCAATTTCTGTGAAAATAATTGTGAACTCAAATAAGGAATGGAATTATTTTGTTTTTAAATGCAGTCGTATGACTCGCATATTTATATGTCACACACATGCCGCTGTGTGCAAGATAATTCCTGCCGTATTTATGGACAATCCCTCAACAGTCATGACATCTTATTAGTTTTTATTGTTACAATCCGTCAATCCAATCAATGTCTCCATTCCCCAATCTTTGATTTCCAGCTCAAATATGCCTAAACTCTAAGTTCTCACTTCATACTCTAGGGATGCTTGGATAAGCTGATTCGTCAACTGGAAGAGTCCATCTACTACATTGCAGCCGGAGGAATTGTCATTGGGTTGTTCCAGGTAGGTGATTACCCATATACCTGTAAGAGTTTGTAGGTGTCTGCGGCACCTGCGTGTACCTACAGAGTTTGTAGGTGTCTGCGGCACCTGCGTGTACCTGTAAGAGTTTGTAGGTGTCTGCGGCACCTGCGTGTACCTGTAAGAGTTTGTAGGTGTCTGCGGCACCTGTGTGTATCTGTAAGAGTTTGTAGGTGTCTGCGGCACCTGCGTGTACCTGTAAGAGTTTGTAGGTGTCTGCGGCACCTGCGTGTACCTACAGAGTTTGTAGGTGTCTGCGGCACCTGCGTGTACCTACAGAGTTTGCTGGTGTCTGCGGCACCTGCGTGTACCTGTAAGAGTTTGTAGGCGTCTGTGGCACCTGCGTGTACTTGCACACGTACAATACATGTACATTGATGTTAAGATTTGACACTGAGTTGGGATGGGAAATTTTGTGAAATGTATCCACTTCCACATTTGCACTCGCACTTCAAATGGAGTGAAAATAATTTCCCCCGTGGGGGGAGGGATCTGCAAATATTTTTCCCAAGTTGAACCTGAAAGTTGCTGACCCTTGTCAGTCACTTGTCGCAAGTTTGTATGTTGATCTCTCTTGCCACATCTTGCCTGATATGCTCACAACGGGAAATTGGAACTAGGCTTTCAAATGCGGCACGAAAGTGAGCTCGATTCTTAACAGGTTCAAAACTTGATAGACCAGGGTGCCTTGGTCAGACTAAAATTTCTCAGCTTCAGAGTAGCTTCTGTTGAATGTCTAGGGTTGTTTTTAATATTTTTATAAATCAATTTTTTTTTCCCCATTTTGATTTGATTCCTCCAGATCCTAGGCATGGTGTTTGCCATGGTCCTTTACTGCAACATCAAACGTGAAGGAAAATATGCATAGGCGACACTCGGAGGTACCAAGGCTGGGCCAAAACCAGACATGTCCATTTCTGGTCTATGGAAGAGTTGACAGCAACCAGTGTATGCAAGAAAAAGGATTCAATCAGGCTTCTTTATATATTTTCAGTTGACCGATTTATTATGCTGCCTGTTGTATTGTGGTAACCAGTGAAAATTTTTCAAAGTGTGTATAACTTCAGCTGGTGCACCAAGAGTAGTAGAACTTTGGTAATGTGCTTCACAGCACTTTCAGGATTGCTGAAAGCTGTGGTGTACCAGCTGCCAAGCATTAGCCGGCATACATTCACTGAAATTTTAGGCGGTCAACATGAAGTCGTGCTTAGGAAAATTTGTTGTCAGCGTGAGCACTGTGCTTTACTTGCGTGCAATTGGTTAACATCATCTTAATCATGGTATCAGCAATGCAATTGGTTTGAGGCTGCCTTTGGAATTGACCTGTGCATATTCGTGTAAATGCACTGTAGATTAAAACCCACAGGTCTGAAATGTAAGATACTTAATCAATCCAACAGTTTGAACTCATTGGAATTGTATAAGTTCAAGCGAAATATCCTCCAATCGGGGTATGGAATTAATTACATCGTTGAATTCTCATACATTCTTGCCAGTATTCCCTAATGGGGAAATAATTTCAGTAAAACTGTGTACAAGATTTCGTCACTCGTGGTTTACCTCTCTCTTTAAAACACTGGAAAGGATGGAAAGGCATTTTCCAGAAATCAAATCATGAAAATGACTTCAAATTGTTGGATGTACCGTACATGTATGAATGGCTTGTGGTAAATCTTGTGAATTTTTTCATTGATAATAAAGTGGATGTAATAAGCACGGATTGTTTTTTGCTAAATTCAGAGATTTAGAGGAACAAGAATACGTCTTGTGCGAGTCGATGGATGCAGTTAGATCCAAAATGTGAGCTTAACTTGGCCAGTCTTCAGTGAGCTAATTTTGTCTGGAGCTGGGTACTGGCTAAGTATTCTGAGTGATTTCATTGGCTTACTCTATTGACTGGTACTCGCATTGTTTCCAACACACTGTACACGATTGGGTTACCACTGCTTACCAGCTAAAGGCCACTGTGTACTTAGGCAGTATGCACCAGTCTATGTTTCTCTCATGATCACCTGACAGTGACCTCGCACTGTGATTGGCTGATTTGAACATTTGTGCTTTCCATTTTGAATATGACTGTAACCAGAGACATTCACAACTTAATTATAAAATTATGAAATTATGTAGTGAGATATTTCAGTTTAGGGTTGAAGGGTGTTATTGTATTAAGCAAATAGCTCATAGATTTGCTTGTAAATGTGTAGCAGCTGTTTTTATGTTGGTATTTGGTATACATGTATTTTCTGCTTATATGATGTGAAAAAAATTTTGAAAATGCTGTGCTGCCTCTGTTCCTCAAAAAAAAAAAAACCCAGAAATATGAGGGTCTAAGGAGTACAAAGATAGTATAAGTCCAAAATTTGGATGATTGGAGTTAATTTGCATAATTTTGCCTGACATTTGTTCAAACCTTCACAGCGCAAAGTATTAACTTTTTGAGGCTGGACACCACATCAACCTGTATTTGTGTTACTTGTACACCAAAAGCGATTTTTCTTGGTAGGGAGTTTCTTGGATTTAATTTTTTTTTACTGCCAAAATAGGGCATTGTTTTTGTGCCTAAATTTGCATAATTAGGTTTAGATTTGCCTCATGTTTTTGAAGACAAAACCGAGGTTGTTTGTTGCCGTTGGTTATTGCGGTAATATGTGCATACATTTGCATGATTTGAATATTTACATCAAAAACTCTACCTGCATTCATTGAGAACGAAAGAAATGGAGACTGAACTCTGATCCAAATCAGATATGGTGGAGGGAACGCACAAAACATTTTGGAGCTTGGAGCTTGCATGTTCTTCATCAGGTACTGTAATTCTAAACATTTACATTTACATATACTAAAAAACTTGGCATATATTTTGTACTAGATGGCTTAGTGTGCACTTTACTATAAGATATAGTCATATATTCATTTTACTTACATCTTTCTAGTAATATGTATTCTTATTTTTCATTATTTTTGTAGTGTCAAAGGCAAGATTTAGTGGCAACCTTGACAATTGAGGTTTCAGGTTGTGGGGAAAAGATGAATTCAAGCTCTTAAAGTGACTGTCTCCTGGGGATCGTTAAACATATGGAATCCATGCAGTCTGCCCGCCCGGATTGTTGTTGCTCCTTTAATTTCAAAGCGGATGTTGTCTGCCTTGGTAGTTATGTCAGTGGTCTCGCATTGCGCACTGGCGCTCCCCTCACTTTTTTCCTCTTTTTTTTTTTACCTGAAATGTAAGTAGTGAAACTGCTTTGAAACGTATGATTCTTTTTTTGCTGAAATAGTTTTTTTATACAGCTGTTTAAGCGCCACTGAAAGTCTCTTTATGGAAGAGATAATATTTCCGAAAGGAAGGAAAACCTGTTTATTTCTCAGTGATGAAACATTCTGGTTAAAATTATCAGTTTTCGTTTTCACAAACTAAATACACTGCCGAAGTACTACTCTTACTGTGTTAGCAAATTGATAAATTAAAACTAGTATCCCAAAATTACGTATGTTAGTACTATAAGCTGAGTAAAAGTACTATTAGTGAGTGAATATTGGATCAGCAAATTACTTGGTAAGCAGAAATCGACTACCAAAAATTTACAGCTCACCCAGTCAGTTAAATTATTCCCGTGAAGTCAATTCGGTCTCTTGCTAAGGAGAATTACTGCTTTACATATTGTTTTGAAATGGGTCTTTCTGTTTAGAGTTAATAAGTATACATGTTGTCGCTTTATAGTCGCCAGTTTTGGAAAGTTTTCAACAGGAAAATGCCTGTGTCCTGATTTTCTTGAGTCATGATTTGGATTGTTCAGATGGATTTGAAAGACACGAGCCTTTGCGTGTGTATTGACGGAAATGCGGTCTTCAAAGCGTACTAGTACTTTGGTGTGCATCCAAAGTACGCTATTCAAAGTCATTCCCGTAATGCGTTCATAATGCACCTGCCGTAGTCTCTCACTCAGCCGCTTTAATGCAGCACTTGTCGCCTGCTCATGCTGATAGAAACGCACGACTGACGTAGCCAAGCTTGCGAAGTTTATACGGAAGGAGTCTATGCAAATATGGACACAGTACTGCTGTTTGCGTAGTGACCAAAGTGAGGTTTTTTGCCCTGGATAACTTGGCTGCGAAATAAAAACATTGTTGAACGCAAAACACCGCGGGCTAATACAGAAAGTTGAGAATACACGGTTCAGCGATGTTGTTTGAGGTTGGTGTGGAACTTTGATATATTTTTGGAGGAGGTTGTGTTTACTGTAAAGTCTGGAATCTGGTTTTCCTGGTTCGGTGGTACTGAATTGGTATTTTCGTACAAAATATATTTTCTTATTGGGCAAGTCCATTATATAGTAATTTCAATGATTTTGTCCCTTGACCATCGGCGTGGCAGTATTTTTTCTGGTTCCGAGCTTGTATGTTTCCCAAATTAACGTCACCCGTTGCTACAGCAGTGAAGGGTGTCGGCATTTGTGCCTGCGCCTTTCCGTTCCACTGTTTTTTGTGGAAGGATTCAGCGATTACTGGCGACCGACTTTGGTTGGGGCGACGGGTTCGAGGTTGAGAGAAGCTTGAACTTTGTTTTATGAATTTTTCAAAAACCTTTTCAACAGATTCAAGCATTGTATATTCGCATATGGTTAAATATGTTTCTCATATTGTCACAATCTAGTTGTAGAGTTGTAATCTATCAGACTTATTGTATTTGTGACGTCAGATATTAATGCTTGATTTGAAGTTCTGTCTCAGAGAGCCTTTTAGATTGAGTTCTACCTGTCACTTTAAAAGTTGAACATCATGTTTACAAATCTGGCAGCATGATTGCCCAAAGTTTATCTCACTGAATCAGAAGTGTGCATTTAAATGGGATGGTTGGTACACCATCACACAGTGCTTTTTTCTGTAAAGGTAAACGGTGACTTCGTTCTTGGATTGTAGAATAATTGAAAATTATTTGTAGATCTTATTGCTAGATACCGTGAGTTGCTTATCCAGTGGTGAATAAAAACGTGTCTGTGTGTAGAGATGCTGTTTTGAATGAATTTATTGCTTCAGAGTGGAGTGAAGCGTGGCGTAATCCACCTCCAGCGTGCAGAAGCACCCGGATGTTTGTAGGGACTGTTCATGTTTTGTTGGTAGCGACGCGACTGTAATGTTATGTATTTCCATGTACAACTCGTGTATTTCCATGCACGAGTTGTACATAAAAAATAGGACTGTCGCAGTTGTTTTTAGAAAAAATTCCATTTCTCTTCCTCTCCTGACCCCAAACCTAAATACGCCACTACGGGCAACCGTCCCAACCGAAATAAGCTGAACGTTTCGAATTGCGTCGCCGTCTCCCATCATTTGAAGAAATTTCTTTGTGTCTTAGCTTCCGGCAACTTAACTAACTCAGTGTTCTTTTTCTGCAAATGTTCTTCTCACAAAAGAAATCGTGGGATTCCCTTTCGCCTTTCGCACCAGATGGTTGGTTTGACCGCGCCAACAACTGACTTGCAACAATGGTCACTGTCACTGCTTTCCCCCAAGAATAATATGAAAATAATAATAACAAAATACGAAAGATATGACAAAAAAAAGATTGAAGGGAATAAAAAGCACTATACCTAGCTTTAACAATCAAGGCTTTTTTCTGTTTCTCCTTTGTTCTTGTCCCTGTCCCCTTTTTAGCCGTTTTCCTCGATAGTTTAAAGTGGGAGGACCAACTGCATCCCCCTGACGTTCAGGATCGGTTCGTAGTTTAGTGCTATGTACCCTCCTGGAGTCCCTTTTCCCCTCTTAGATAAAGTGCAGTGGCGTAATCAGTGTCCAAGCGGGAAAGGGACACGGGAACAGATTCAACCCCTCCCCCAATCATTTTGTAACGATGTTTAAAGCCATTCTTTTTCCTTGTAATTTTAAAAGGAATTCATGCGAACATTACTTCACTCTTAACCCTAAAAAGTTAGACGTTTGGGAGATACCACTTACAGCCAAGGGGGATTCCCCCCTCCCCAGAACTCGGCCATCCCATACGCGAGTTTAATGAAACTCTGCATTCATGTAAAGACCATCATACTCAATACCAATAATCAATGGATCAGTACATTCTCAGTTCAATGGAAGATGTTGCTGTGACCATTTGAAGTTTGGGGCCACGCGCTTGCCAGCGTGTCGTAGCGTGTGCGCGCGGGAAAAGTGTAGGTTTGTTTGTTTGTTTTTTTTGAAAAAGTGGCTGCTCTGGGAAAATGAACACTATGCGAGAACAGCATAGATTCTAAAAAATAGGTGGAAAAGGACTATAATGAATTACTCAAAAAAAGCCTTGGAGACCCAAAGCGTGAAAAAAATGCAATGTGAGGCTAGAGAGAAAAATGCGGAGTTGGCGGAGGCCGCCCCGGCCTTATTTTTGGGGCGGGGACAGACCAAAGAAAAAATACACTGCGATTTGTAGAAAAAAATCATTTTGCCCTTTCCCAAACACCAGTCCGTGGCTCCCCCCCCCAAGCAAATTCTGGGCACACTTCACGAGAAACTTTGCAATTGAATTGATTTTGAATGAAAAAAGTACTCAAAAATATTTTTTTACGAAAACGTGGGGGATCGGTGATCAATCCCCTTCAAAAAGTGAGTGATTATATACACCCAGTCTCCTGCGATACTTATCAGCTCCGGGCGAAATAAGTAATCCCTCGAGCGATATAAGTAATCCGCCCGGGCGAAATAGTAATCCACCCGGGCGAAATAGTAGTCCGCCCGGGCGAAATAGTAATCCGCCCGGGCGAAATAGTAGTCCGCCCGGGCGAAATAGTGATCCACCCGGGCGAAATAGTATCCACCCGGGTGAAACAGAAGGCAGCAATTTTTTTCAGTCATGTCCTATATACATGTACGCTTCCAAAGGAAACAGATGAAGTCACTTTACGAACCAGACTGCTTGCCGCACGCGCGATACACTGAGCTCAACCAATCAGACAACAGCAGGGGAAGAGTCGCCGCTCTGAAGCAAGCAATGAGAATATGCCATCTTTGAGGCCGGTGCCCGTGCTTCTTCGGTAAAGCCATGTATCCAGTCGATTCACAGGTATCAGGGCTGGGGCAGGGGAAACTTCCGTTCAGTATAAAGTTTCTGTCAGTGGCAACACAAAATACTTGGGACGGTGTGGATTCTACATGTCAAAGGCGACGGCATTGAAAAACTTTGCTTCATATTTAGCATTTCCTCAGCCGTGGATTATGAGTGACAAGGCCGGAGGGTAGACGTTTGTCATTCATCGCAATTCTAGAACAAGAAAAACTACTTTTGGTAAGTATGCATGCCGTTTTCTTGGAGGCTTTGCAAAACCAGACTTAGAAACTGGCGAGGCGCATGGCTGCCTTTTTAGTTGTTCAAAGTTCAAATGAGGGGAAGCTCACTTTTTTGTTTTGCTGACATTGACGATCACAGGGGCAAAATCCATGACCCAGCAACTCCCGCCAAGAATGGAATTTTTTTTCTGGACAAGACAGGTGGAAAGTCCGAATTTCAAATTCCAACCTACTGAAAAAGCAAAGTTTATAATTGCCATCACAATCACCTTCCTGATTTCCAGTGCGTGTAAGATTTCAGTCATGCTGTGGCTGCATCCGAATCTGTTGTCTAGAGCTAGGTCTAGGTCTTTGCTCCATTGGAAATGCATGGAGACGGCCTGTGATTATGATGGCAGAGTTACAGCGCCATTTGTTCATTTCTAAATCTTGTCTAACGTGTGCGTACTTACGTTGTCACAAGCTGATTTTTGCGATAAATTCTACTCGTGGAAATCAACACTATTTTCCAGCATTATTTTTTAAGTTATGCCGAAATTAACGGAAATCGAATGATAGACAAAGGAGGACAACAAAATCGGGAATCAGTAGTTAATTGTTTCCCTTCTGATGTGATTTTTCCGACATCCAATTTCTTTGTCCTTTGTTCAGTGCTCCATTTTATCGAGTGTTTCACATAATATTATTCTCGCAAAAAGCTGATTTCCAAAATGCCGCATCATACAAGCCAACAAGCCATTAAAATCCACATTAGTGCAATGGTCATGCAAACGCTCCTTAATGGGTTGTGCTGCTTTTCTCTGGCGACATTTTTTACTCCTCTCCCTTTCAGCACAAGCCCGGATGGTTGTATTAAATACGCTGATGTCACCAGCCTAGCCTGGTCTCAATCCTCGGTTTCCATCCCCGTTAGGGCTACAACGACGGGGTTTGTGGGTGAGGCAAGTGCCGAGCTGCTAAGACTCGGCTGCTCAAAATTCGTCTCATCCGACGATACATGACTCATTGACATCCAAATAAAGTCTTCTACTCCCCTGTCACAGAAAATCGTCAAAAATGTATCTGTTTCTCTATTCAGTTTTTGGCAAATTATAAACCAATTTGGAAGGCAAATCACCTACGCTGTACAGCATGCTTAACTTTATAGCAGGATGAATAACAAGCAGTGTGTATATTTGAAAATTTCTCGATTTCTAGTGAAAGTGTGATGCACTTTACTAATTTCTATTTTTTTCATCAAAAAGTCATAGCCTTACAAATCAATACATGGAGTTGGAATGATTTTTTTCCAAAGCTGAACAGCTGAAATTAAAGGACAACAAACTAATCTAATCGCAGTGGCTGACTTTTTGACTCTTTTCGATTTCGTAAGTAATTATTCAAAAGAATGTATTTTGTGTGTGGTTGATGTTAACTTTTGATTATGAAGTTTGCCCTTACGTATATTAATTCAAAGCATTGAATGTGTTGTCCGGAGTTGGCGGAAAAATTCACGAGCTTATTTAGGGGAGACTCGAACCCACGACTTCCTGGCAGGCGTCTTCACCGCTTGACCACCGAGGCTGCAAGAGTCGTTTAAACTGGTTCGAATCAGACACGGCAGCGGCTACGTACTGTAATCAGCTATTTATTTTGAAAGATTTTTCGATCGTTTTATGCATTTCATGCCATTGTCTTCAGCAACACTTTTTGCATCTCACATTCCTCCTATTTTGTGGTGCTATTTTTTCAACATGTTTTCCAGGTCACATTTCTTGCTGACAAGATTTGATTTTTCACGATGACTTTGTACGGCTGCGCCAACTGTGTGAAGTATCTTCTCTTTGCCTTCAATTTGTTGTTCTTTGTAAGTGTTGCGATTATTTTTTCATTTTTTTTATTTTCTAAACATATAGATGATTCAATAACATAAATTCGTGATGGTTATAGATTTAGAATTCTTGGCAGTATACATTATTTTCTTAATTATCCAGGAAGATTTGGGCACTTTGTCATTTTCTTCAAAGCAATCAAAACGTGTAGTTTTTGTTCCCTTTCTTCCATTTCAAATGTTTATTATCAACGATAATAGCTGTTAATAATTATTTCAAGCCCTACTTTCTTGTTGTCGAGTGAATTCTGATGTTGTGTCTCTCACACATGACATTCATGAAGGCGGGTTTTCTGTGTAATTGTGCCCTCCTTGTGTTTTTGTTCGGCTCCTACCTCTATAGCTTTCTGGAGGGACAGTTCTGGCAGGAGGTGCCTATCTCTTCACTCGAGAAGGTCCGTTTGCCACCCTCCTTCCCAGTTTCCCGTTCCTGAATGCAGCCACACTGACCATGGTTGTTGGTGGGATCATGATGCTCGTATCCTTTCTGGGCTGCTGTGGATCTATCAGGGAGAACTCTTGTATGGTTTTTACTGTAAGTACAAGCATTGCCGCTCGTCAGTAAGCCCAGGCGTTTAAATCTCAGTCAAAATAGAACATGCATGTGCCTTCAATTAATGGTGGCGACAGTGGTGGCTGCAATCATAGGCCCTACCGGCCGTTCTTACTACATGTAGTTATGAAAAAAGACCGGTACGGTAACTATGTCTGCTGCCACCAGCGTCTCAAAGTCTCCCATTCCTTGTGAGCAGTCAGGTTCACATCATCATTATATACCTGCTTGCAATAAAGAGTCCGGTCAAAAGATTTTTTTTTTATTTTCTTAGATATAGGGCCTATTTTGTGCAACATTCTCCTCCTGTCAAATACGTGAAACTATTTGACTTTTTTTTGTTTTAATGAAAAAGTGCACTTCGTTTGACATTATCGCAATTAGTTTGGGGACCGTGTGAGGGCGCTGCTGCTGTGATGAAATTCTAGGAGGAACGCAATCAAGGGAAAATGCACTAAAGTTTCACTTTTCTCTGGATTCCGTAACTTTACCCCTAAATGTTGTAGTGTGCTCGATGTATTCTCTCTCATCACCTGTGTTTGATATTTAGACTGCATGAAAAACGGAGCCCAATATTGTGCACGTCCCAGAAAAGCAAGCTTAGCTGAAATGTAACCGAGAAGAGATTTTTTACTTATTATAACACCACCATTATCCACTTTGAGCAGAAGCACCCCTCGTTGGTTGAAAAGAACCATGCTTTGTCGGGAGTGTTCATTTTGCTAGTGGCGACGCGCCCGTAACGCATGCATTTCAAATTAAGTCGTTTGTGAACCAGCGGAGTCCAGTTCCTACCAAAGGAGCCTTCTTCAAGGAAAATTGCGCCCTCTCTTGGTCCAACTCGGGGCTCATAGATGACATCAGGCCGAGTTCGGGCTGCTTTTTCTCGTCTGTTCACGAACAGCTGAATAATTGTTGTTCGAGGGTCGTGCGCGCGAACGCTGGGAACGCTAACGTACATGCATATACAACCGGTCATCGCTCCGGGTAGTTAGTGGCAAGCAACATGCAATATGGCGGCGTCCATGTACATTATTCGAGAATTCATGTTTGGATGACTGGACGAAATTCTTTTGAAAAGGAACATCATTTCTGTGTTATGGGAAATAAATAATGGTAATATTGCAAAACTTCCCTTTGTTTCGTCTTTGTAAGCCATCTCACTATTTTTTGCGGCTGTTCAAAAATCAAAATCTCACGAGTTTCTCATGTGTTCCTGAACGCAAAACCCTGACGAGGAGGAGGTGTGTCATCATGTTCCGAGACCGGTGTTCTTGAGTCGTGTTCCCGCGAGAACAAAAACTCATGTCAAGAACGGGCCGCTCGATCTGAACCTAAATGAATCCAGTCTATTTATTTCTTTATTGAAGTACTTTGTGTTGATGACTGGCATCCTGATCGCTGAGATGATTGCTGGCGGATTGGGCATTTCAAACAGGAACAAGGTTGCTGCGTTTGTGGAGCAAGACATGACGCAACGTGGCCTGCCGCTCTACGGAACCGTAGGCCAGCAAGGATTGACAACGGCGTGGGATCGAATGCAAAACTTCGTAAGTCGGTTCGATTACAGAAGGCGCCAAGCGCTCGCAGGAGTTCAGGTCCGTTCCTAAAATACATTTTACACTCTGGTAAGGGCTAAACCTCTTTTACAACACCTTGGGCAGAAGCTCAGAAGTTGCAAACATATTGCAGGGAGCCCCTGTCTTAATCTTTCTATGTCTTGGGCCCAGGTTATTGCTAACAAATTCTGTCGAGGAAATTTAATTCTCTCCTCAGAAGGGCCGTAGCGAGTGCATTCTTAATGTCATTTTGTGCAGCAAAGCGCGGTTCCACCAAAAGAGCCTCCGTTGTTTGAAAAATGGTGCCCTCGTTTGGTCCCGTTCGGGGAGGATATGGTCAGAGGAAGGAGAATCCGTCTTTTCTCGTCCATAGCTGCATGGCTTAACAGACAATTGTACTGTGGTTTTTCTTTATAGCTGCTGTGCTGTGGTGTATCCAACGCAACAGATTGGCAACTGTTCCATCCCAGGCTGTATGGACCAGGAGAGACGCCCGACTCGTGCTGCGTGTCGCACCTTGTGGGCTGCGGAAGAAACCCTTTGGTTGAGAAATGGGACCGGGTGAGTACGCGTGCGCGATGGTGACCCGGAGGGTGCTGGGTGGCCATGGTGATAGTAGATAGGAAGGATACAGGGATGGTGATAACGGTGGTGAGAAGGGAATAATTACTCTGATTCCTGCGATGATAAAGAACGGAAATAAAAACTAACGTTTATGATATTGTTGTTTTATGTTTTGTGCGACCTTTTGAAGGGTTGTAAAGACGCTCTCATCGAAGAACTCCAGAGACATATCGGCGCCATCGGAGGCATAGGAATCGGCGTGGGGGTATTTCAGGTAAATTCATTATTTCACTCTCTTGGCGAATTTCTGATCGAAAAGGAGGGACCAAAAAAGGAGTACTGGATAAACACATTGACCCCTGACCCTGGCAGAAAAGGTCGCGGGAAACTGGTTATTATATCCATGTAAATACACAGCACCTCGCATTGTCAAGCTCAGAATAAACCAAATTAAATTCATGTAAAGTTTTTAATATTTTGTTTGTTTATTTATTTTAAATTGTTATTGAGTTCGGCCCATTGTAATACATTGTAAGTTGATAATCTTTGCAATAAAAGCTTTCCTTGCCGCCTTTCTTGCCCATTCGTGATCGGGCCGTCTTTTTTCAGATTCTTGGCGTCGTCTTCGCCTTCATCCTCTGGTGGGCCATCCGGAACGAACATCAAGGATCGTTTGTGTAAACAGCGCCCTCTATTGACAGACGCAACTGCGCAAATTTCTTCATTAAAAATCCGGAAATAAGTACACAAGAAATAAAACGGTTGAATAAAAAGGTGAAGTGAGTTTATTTCTGCATTTAAGGGGATAAACCGAATCTGAGAAAGCTATTAAAGCTAGTTCTGTTTATTGTAATTATAATTGTCGCACCGAAAAATGTACACAAATGTTTGTTCAGCATTCTCTTCTTTCTTGCCTTTTTTATTTTCGTTGTAGTTTTTGGGGAGAATAATTTTCTCAGCAAAATCTTCCAAGGACTATAAAGAGGTTAAATGTTTTACAGTATTTTAAAAAGTGATTTAAAGATTGTTTGTAAAAATGCTTATGTCACTTTTGAAATGGGCCAGATTGTGCAATAATTAATGTATAGGCCTAATTAGAAAAATTGAAGTTAAGCTCCTATGTTGAATTTCCGTCAAGAAATTTGTAACCTGAATTTATGAACAAGATTCGTGTACAGGATTGTTAAATCGATTTGTAATTATAACTTGCAGCTAGATTAACTGATACGTTTTGTTTCCTGGACAGATGTCAGATCAACATTATTCTTTAAGAAAAATGAGCCAGTTATATTTCAAAAAGCCAAGGTACTAGGTCTTTCGGGAACGAAGCGCACACTTCAGTCAGTATATGGCTCCGCTGATAGGACAGACTATCGCGCGCGCGCGCGTAGCTGTTCCCGAATCACATAACAATATCGACAAATTGAAATAGCGTCCCCTTTTGATCACACCTATTGACAAATAGAAATAGCGCCCTCATTTGACCATAACTTTTTAATGAAATGAAACAGCGCCCCTCATTTGACCGTTTCGAGCACAAAGCCATTTTTTATTCTGATAATGTGCATGTAACTATAATAAACTCATTTTCTTTTATCATGTCGTAGTAGTATCACGAGTCGTGAATATGTTTGATAGAGCCAACGAGATGTATGAAAAAAATTGTACTCAAGGGCAGGGCTCGAAAATCTCGCAGCAGTTTAATAACTTTTAAAAACTGTTTTGTCAATATTTCTTATTGTGTGGATCGTATTGCCAAATACTTACTGGAAAGATCTGACCAAATCTAGCAAGCAAGTCAAGAGAAAATAAAGTTTGTTACCCTAAAATTTTATCTGAAATAAGTAAAAGCAAGAATCAGTTATGTAAACATAAGACAGTAAGCATGATACATTAATTGATGGATTGACAGGATGCACAATGGAACTAGCCTTGATGTGACTTACAGTATGTATTAGTATAGGTGAATACGATAGCCTTGGCAGTGGTGGATCCAGAAATTTTTCCGGGGGGTCAGGACACAGATTTTTTAATGATGTCTCATTTCTGCGGACAAGCGCAAAAAGATGAAACATAACACGCGCCATAGATTGTTTACAATCGTAGTAACGCACTTACTTGAGCTATTTTAAATAGTTATTTTCCCCATTCTAAAACTATGTTTTGGTCTAAGATCAGGTGGGTGGCTTGACCCCGCCTCCCCCCGCTCCGCGCCTGAAGGGTTATGCTATCACTGTCGGTTACCAATGGCCCTTTTCAATGGCAACAGGCATTATAATAATGCAGAAGTGTTCCTCAACAATTTAACCCACCAGTAAACTTACCACCATTTACGGGGGTCATCATTAACGTCCAGCCACATACATGTCCAGCTTTGAATGGTTCATTTTACGCGAGACATGTTAAATTTTTAAAAATATATATATCAACGTTCGAAACCTCTTCAAAAGTATGAGTTTATTAAAATTAGAAGAATTATTATTAAAATTTCTCTCAAAAGGAGGACTGATCGGACGTATTGTTTGTCTATTGGCACAACTAACTACAATTCATATATATCGCGTATTATTTTCAACATTATTAACCATTTTTATACAAAGCACTCGACTAATGATTACTCACTATCCCCCCCCCCAGAGAAGAGTATTAAAGCTTTTAATATTTTGTCATCTGTGTCCAATAAAATTCAGCCTTGTCGGCGTGAATTCGAGCGCAATTTGCTTTGTCCTTGCGCAGCAAACGTAGACAATATGGCAACTGCAAACCAGCATGGGGCGGTGGCAGTTTTCTTCTGGCAGACGGCTTGTCGTTTTCCATTGGCATCGATTTGATCGATTTGTCAATCTGTGTTTTTCGTTACGCAGGTCTAGTTGATTTTGTGTGGGTTCTAATGACTCACTTCATTGGTTTGGAGGCTCTCTTTTATTTTAGGGAGAGGTGGGCCGTTTGGGCTTCGTGGTGTTGAGATTTCATGATGAACTGTTTTGTCTTGTGTTTACGAGTGCTCAGATCTGCATCTTATTTTAGCAGGTTTTCACCAACTACTCCCATTGAGTTAAGTTACAAATTGTTTTTCTCTCGTACAACTTTTGACTATGCATTTCCACAATGCTTTTCAGATATATATTTTTTAAACCACGATCGCCTAACCCTGCTTAGGATATCGCTCACGGTGGTTGGTTTCGAAGCAAAAAAGTGAGTTTCGCCGAAGGGCGTCTTAATGCACTCTTTGTACACTGACCAGTCATTACCTTTAATTTCCTTTAAGTCATGGACTTCCAAGGAGCTCTAGACGTGAACTTTACCAAGGAAAGCTCGTCCTATAACTTCTTGCTTTAATTGCGGTATTTGCTCGGGTAACGTGGTTGTGATGTAACTCGCTGAACAACATGCTAGTTACCTCGAGACAACCGTTGCTGCCTCGTTCGTCAGCTCTGCACTCCGGAGTGTGATACGTGCCAAGCACACTCGCATAAAAAAAACGCGGGAGTAGCCATGGTGATGGTGCAAGTTACTGCTTCATGACGCACATCGCGTAATCAAGGAGAACGGGCGACTGCACCGTGAACCAGTGGGGGTATCTCGTCCCAAGCACCTTGGGAAAGACCGGAGTTGAGCAGCAGAAAATTGCAGGGAGCACCGGAAAAGACAAAAAGACAGAAGCGTTGACCAGACGTTAGACATCCGTACTTTTTTCTTCTGCCGAGATTGACGCGTGATGACTTCAAGACGAGCCTGAAACGACGGTTCTCTCCATCTGGTCAGCCGGAGAGCTTGCTTCGTGTTACAGAGGCTAAGATAAAGATGATGTGGCCTACCTCCGCTAAGCAGAGCAGTATACAGATGTTCTTGAGTGGCGCATGACCGTGCATAGTTTACAGTAAGTATCACCAAACACTTGGCTTTCATTGTCATCTGTCTATGGTCTTCGTGTTGATTGACGAGTTATGTTTGATTGATCAATGAGGCAAATAAAGGCGCTTTCCATATGCGCGTCGACACTTCGGCCAATTTGACGGAGCAATTTTGACGGCCGAACGCAACGCATACGTGTGTCATGGAGTCAACTTTAGTGTCGCTTTAAGTGAACCACCTGAACGCATCGTATACGCAACGCACCCAAAAGAAAAGTACGCCTGGAAAGGCGCCTTTGAGGTGTATTTTGAATTCGTGTTTGAGGTTGGGTGACGCGTACTCTGTCCGCTTTAATATTCCAGGATCTTATGGTTACTTACAGGTAAAAACAGTAAACTATACATGTACATACACACCGTGCGTGCGCGATCCGCGACTGAATGGACCCCCCTCTCACCTATAAATACTTCATCCCCGCCCCCTCAAGAGGAAATAAATCCTGGCCGTGTTTTTCTGAAAATTATCACCATATCCCTGTGGGTGTCTCTGAGCGTTTCCAATAACATACGACCCTTAGCCCCGTTCGTTTAAAATACCTCTCTTGTTTATTTTCAGAAATAAGTGAGCATGACTTACTCCTTTCAAACATTCTGTGTGCTGAGGTTACTCAGTCCAGGCAGGTATTTTCACGTGCGAATGCACTTTAATTTTGCACCAGTGAGCCGCCGTTTTTGCAATGATCATGCGCGTTGCCTCCCGTGGGTAAACTCAGCACGAAAGAAAATGTCATCAGTGTCACATCTGCCTTCCAGGATATTCCGATCACGTACACCAGTGAACTGCAAATTTCCAATGCAAAACATTTTTGGCACAAATCCCAAGTGTATTCTGAAAAAAAAAGAACAACATTTAATATACATTTTCAGAGACTGATAACTTTGCATTAGTGGTCCGGGGTTTTTGACAAGCAATAGAGCCTTTGCATGAAAGCCATCCTACGGGGGCACTTCTTTTGTTCCACAGGGGAAACCTCCTTTGTGTACACCATAGCCTATGGAACAAAAGCACTGGCCTTCAAGATGGCAGCTATGCAAAGCCTCTATACAGGTTATTTCGGTCTGGCAAACAAAACACCAAAACGGATCTTTAGAAATCGGTTACCTTGCAACATATCTCCAAGACCAACCCTAACTGTGCAACTTAGATTCTAACATTCTTCGACTTGCACTGGGTAAAATTAATAACCGTGTCCAATTAAATTTACGTTGTGCGGAACGAACCTCTAAAGTACAATATGACCATTCGACATACAATTTTTACACCACCGTTTTCCAGCTTCTGTTCTTGTTTACACAACTTAACCGCGTGAAAAGCCAACCAGTAAACAAGCAAACAAAAATATCAGGTGGTGTAGTGTGGCTATTTTAGGTGTGGCCACGTGATCTTCCAAATCGTACAATGTATACTTAGTCCCAAACCAATACGTTTAAAAAGGTGGTAAATAAATCGAGGTTTGAATCTCTTGTATAGGGCAAGGATAATATTTCAGTAACCTAAACCAAGTTGACATTTCTGGACTGAACAGCGTTCGTGTCTGGAAATATAATTGTACAAGACAAACAGATTTCTTGTCTTTCTTCTTTTTTTTCTGTAACACGTTTTAGCGAAGCCTCACCTCAGGTCGATAACCCATGGAAGGTACTCTGAGTTTCAAGGGGGATAATCCAGAATTGATGTCAGGTTTAAAACCCCTGACTGATGGCTGTTTGTTATTAATTTTGTTGTAGAGAGGCGTGGTTTATTCGACGATGAATGTGGGAGTTGGGACGTGATAGCCCCGCCCATTTGGAGCTAATAGCAAACAATTAAAGATGATGAACTCAATGGTGTCATTCTCGCCAAAATGCCAGCGTTCTCAAAGAAAAGTTTCCAGGCTTTTAAGGATTCCTTTACAAGTTGGTAAACAAATATGTTACTTACAAAAAAGTGTGGCCATGATCAGAAAACAATAGAAATAACAATCAAATATTTTAATTTCAGCGATTTATATTTTCCATGCTTTTGGCACCACATTTGCTTTAAGGTGAACATTTTGTTTCAATAAACGTGTGTCATCATCCTTTCTGTCTTTGCTGTTAGACAAAGACTGGTCCACCCAGACCGCAGTGAACAGAACGATATTGTTATCGAGTACCGATGCGTAAGTAACAAACAAATACTTAAAGAATATTGTCGGCGTTTCTGACAACGAGTAGCCGAGCGTTGAAGTCGGCACAGCATTATTGATGGTTGAATAATTAAATGCCCACGTTCGGGGCCAATTAGTGAATTTTCCCCCTTACCGTGAATAAAATCTTCCATCTGACTCATCAAAACAGTTGGGAGTGCAAAATTTGATTAGTTTTCACCATATTTTGGCGATTTTTGTTCATTGCAGTATGTAAATGAGTGTGCCTAGGGACTCGATGATTCATCCGTCTGATGAGAGTTTCTGAGTTCCTGGGATTATTTTTGGTGTTAATAAATTCTATTTGTTTACCGGAAGTCTCGATTTCAACCTTAGGGAATCACTCAGAATAATTCGAAAAAAGGCCCTTTGTGATTGAGAAGGAGGGTAAATTCTTCGCACTGGTGGTAAGTGCAAATTGATTGAAACACTCAATCTTGACATTTTGTGAATGGGCCTTTTCAGTTTAAAAATGAAGTCTATATAGAATTCCCCTCAAACAAGAACGGTATGGGAACACGATAGGCGCGAATTTAAAGAAATAAACTCTCCAGACCCGGTGACAAAAAGTAAATCTATTTGCATCCCAAATTAAAAAGTCCAATTTGTATATCTGAACAATAAATCTTTACAATTTTGTTCTTCTGTTATCAACAATGGATCTTTTTTTTCCCACTGCATTCTTGTCCATTGAGAGACATTTTTGACGCTTCACTAAGCATAGTAAAAGGATCGCCGCTCCCTTCAGAGGAACAATGGGCTCACCCATGTAGTCTGGTTCCCCAAATAATACAATGGGAAACAAACGGATTACTTCGGATACCAGTACGTACATAGTTCGTGGACTGGTTGTCACTTGCCCAAGAACTTGTAAACTACCTGTTTTTAAGTCTGAAAATCAACTTTTTTGCTGTCACAACGGATTTAAATCCTTACGACAACAGGATGGCCAGAAACTAGAAAGTTCCAGGAATCTGGCAGTGGGTCATGTAAGTTGGAAGTGACATTGGAAATCTGTTTGAAAATGCAGTGGTAATGTTGTTGAAAGTTCGGGAGCTGAAGCGTGGGATTTGTGCGAAGTGGGTCGTGCTGAGCGTGTTTGTTCGCCCGAGGGCGCGGCTGAAACCCGGGCGGCATTGAGTTCAATCTGCGTTCCTTAAAATTTGCGGACTTAATTCAAGGCCCCATATTCAACTGGATATTTCTTGTAAAATGAATATGTTGCAATGGTCTGACTGTTCTCACTGGCGAGTAAAGAGACAGAACTTAGGTCCAGACTTTCGGACCTTGCTGAGCGGTAGAAGCAATTGACTTTAAGTGTTGCTTTGAAAGCAGAAATCAAGTTGACATTTTCATCACGTTTTTGAACAAAATGACCTTTTTTCAGCTGTGTGATAGTTTCATGTAGCGTTCAATTTAACCATAAAATTATTATTTTTGCCTTAACATATATTGTACGTTACTGTAGGCTATTTGGTTTAGTGTGATATTTTTGTTCCAAAGTGATCTCTGCAATTCGAAGTATTTTGTTTTGATTAAGTTCAGATCTTCACACAAGCATGTACATATATAGTTTGGTTAAAAGGGTTAACAAATATTCCTAAATTTTTGTTTTAGATTGAATTTCTCTTGGTGTAGTGGAATGTTCTTATTTTGTTTGATTGTAGGAAAATCCTTTGTAACTCTAAAGTTTTTCACCAACCCCCTTGTACATAACCAGTAACTCGGCACTATTTTGTTTCACTCAAGTTGTTTTCAGTAACCTTCCCAACGTTGTTCAGGGTATTATGAATTGGGCAAGAAAGTATAGATTCATGGAGAGCCTTCGTTGGTGTTTATTGATTCCATTTCTTTTTCCTTGCATTGCTCAGCATGTACTGGGTAGCCACTCTTTCTCAAATTGCATCCGTCCGTTCAATCTTTCTAAGCCCCGCATCCTTTCTCGTCTCCAGCCCGTCGTATCTTGTCTTTTCCTGGGCCCTCCACACACACACACCCACACACAGTTGGCTAGACGCTGAGCCATGTCTTTGCCCTCAGGCAGCAGGGAACTCTTAATCTTGCACTCAGTCAAGGGGAAACACCCGCAAAGGAACCGCACAGACCCTTGTGCCAACCTGCACTTCATTAATTATCAGAATCCCCCCCGTTGGTCTCATAAGCATAATCACTACAATCAACTACAAATGGAATTTTGAATACTCATTTCCTTTTTTGTTTTCAACACACTGTTGAGTTGAATTATTCCGCCAGAGCATCTTATTTGGTTGTGGCATTTTGTCCCCTCTGAATTTTTTTTTATTGAGTGATGGGAATTGAAATGTGATTTCACCTGGAGATGGCAAGCAAGGCGTGAAATGCCATGAGGTTATCTCAGGAGCGCGACCAAAACAACAGTTGCCGAAGCTAGCCCTGCGCTGCGACATGCTGTCTAGTGATAATCCTGTTGATAATGAGATTGGCAGGATCAGACCCAGTTGGAATACCATGGAGATGTTGCCAAGATTTGGGTTTTTTGCTCCAAAGGGATTGATTTTGGTATTTTTAGGCACGGATCCAGAGGGGTCCGAAAAAAACCCTGCTTTGAGACCTCCCAAAAAAGAAAAAAAAAAACGGGCAAAATGTAGAAAACAGTAAAAATAATTAAAGCAGATGCACCAATACCGTTGTAAACAATGTACTTGTATGAAATGCATAATGAGTCATCATCATTTCTGCTTGCCCACAAAAAATGAGACATTAAAAAATCTCCTGCCTGATCCCCCCAGAAATATTTCTGGATCTGCCCCTGTCTTCCAGGCTTGTGGTCAGGTGTTACTCCTCAGGTTACTACACCCACATCATCAATGTATGCTGTCAATGCATACTTCCATCATGGAGGTAGCTGTATCTACCTTCATACTTCGATGTGACACTCGGAGATTACTCCAATAAGATGCGCAGTTTCCTTCTCCAAATATTGAACAAAATGAAGCTCAAAAATAAATTTCAAAATAAGTGTATACATGCCCCAATCCCTACACCTGTTAGCAAAACAGCTGAGGATCTTGCAGTGTAGTGGTTGCAGTCATGCCTGGCTACTTACTGTTCGTGTACTCTACCGGTATATACATCGTTTCCCTGAGTCGGCAATGTTTGACAGTGTTGGTGGGAAAACTGCTAGATTCAAGAAACTGTAGGCCAACTGCTGGTTAAGTCAATAAACCTGCAGTGTTCTGCTCGCTTGGCTTGCCTCAGCATCCAGGCTGCTGGTATTTGTCGAGGGAGAAACAAGAAACATTGAATGGTTGTGCCAAACCTAGGGCTACATTTTGTTTAGCAAGGATTTGTGTACCTGTACATGTGTGCATGTTCACTTATACAAATACATTCTAGATACTGTTCATGTAACCTTTCTTTGAGCATCAAGTGGTGGCATTGTTGGGGGGTGGGTGTGGCCAGGCTTTTTTCAATGGGGGGGTGTGACTCCAGGAGGGCTCTATTGTCCTCTTGACCTTTCTCGTTTGGTCATAGGCCAAATAACCTTCCACTTTAAGGTTTGACCACCGTGCCAAAATCTGGGGATGCCAATATGATCAATTGGGTTAATACCACAATTGTCATCGAAGGAACTACCGGTACATGTACCAAAGTTTACTGCATACACAACTGTACACATGTACTTCGGATCACAAAATAATATAATTAATAATGGGGAAAGAAATCGCTCAACATCCAAAAATTTAACTACATGTACATATACACAGGTAATTCAGCCTGGTCGTTGAATGGTCATAATATGCCAATTTTTTGAAGTTTACACCTGATCCCATCCCTACCCCTCAAATTCAAATATCTGGAATGAACCGGAGAACCAAACATACTCACCAAGTGCATGTTGATCTCCTTGCATTGCGCTAACTGCAAACCTTTTACTTAACTTGCCACCTTCACCGTAGAAACGCTTCAAAGCTCACCTGGAATGACACTACATGTACATCTCAACATTATATGCAAGGAGGAATTTAAGGCCAAACAAAAATAACTGTGTTTCTGGTTACCCAACCCAACCAAGAAAATCACGCAGAACCTATATCTTTTTATTCAACAAATCAATCAAATATAAAACTTATGGTGCCATGCCCAGAGCCTAATTTTGCGTACATCGTCCTGTTAATTGTATTCTTTTATTTATTTATTTTTTTGCATGAGAAGGACGGCTCTTGTGTGTTTGTATTTCAACAAACAGCTGCTTTACTACTCTGTTACTTTGCTGATATGTACTATTGACGTGCACTTGCACAGTATTAATCTGACACTGACTTAGTAACTGTTACAAATCCCCCCCCCAAAAAAAAAACAATACAGACCATCATCCGACCCTTATTTTTTGGGCTATAAAAATTTAGAGTAAAAAATAAATATTTTACCCAACCAACCACCCAAATTTATTTTTCAGTGTAACAAGAAACACAACTAATTTTTTGTTTGGCCTAATGTCAGCATTCCAATTTGCCTCGATATTTTCTAATGAATCTTTTAAAACTTTTTCCTTGAAGAAAAAGAAAAGTGAAAATAGTTATTTTGTCGTGACTTGCATATTTCCAGGTCACATGCCACCACTGCCTGGATTTCTTCTTCACTTGATAACGCTGTAACCAATTACCATTACATGTAAGTGTGTGTGCACTGCCTACACACTGCTGCACGGGCAGAAACCCATCACACTGAACGTCCTCAAAATATTGACTGACTGGAGACATTCAGCCTCTTATCTGGGCTAATGGATGGGGCTTTGTGGATGGTTGTCTCCTAGAAGATCTCGCAAGCAGACTTAATCTGAGAGACAAATATTTATCTCTCTTTTTATTATGTAGACACTCTGTACATTTTGCCTAACAGCTTTTATATTCCTTTTTGTTTTTCTGGTTTTTCCTTTCTGTTTATTAGTTTTAGCTCTATCTCGGTGCAAATGATTCGATTCAATTATCAACTTTCCTTGTTTAGCCTTACCTTGTGTAACCCCATTATGCAGTGGGTGTAAATTAAACTGTGTTCTACAGTCAGTCTGTGAAAAAGAAAAACTTCTACCTACCAGTACGGGTATCTTGACAGGTTTGGCTGATTTGGATTAAAAAATCCTGTAGATTTTGCCACACTTCTTCCTGGTTCTTTGGCCAGGTTGGCTGAAATACGGTTAGGCCTACATGTACATAGGGTTCACTAATACCCATAGACTAGTACTGGTGCATTAATTAACTTTGAATTAGCGTGACCTGGACGCACGCTGAGACATTGCACATGCCAAATTTCCAGAGTACCGGTATACATATACGGTGTCCACTCAGGCACTATACTCAAAATTTTTTGACTTGTTACAGTGCCCTCACAGTGAACAGTGAACAGCAATTAAAAGACGGAATCTGTAGAAACTCAAATCACTCCTTCAATTGCCAAAAAGCTAATAATTATTCTAATTAATAGTTGAATGAAAACAGTTCAGTTATAAAATGTGAGAAGTTGCATTTCTTACATTATTTACTTTTGATGGAGTTACGGCCTGCTGGTACATGTACACGTGTACATTTACTTTGGTTACTTGTGAGCGTTCACCCCCCCTCCCACTATGTGCCCGTGAGTGAAAGACAACAGTGTTCTGTTTTTGAAGGCTGGAAGGCCAAAGGAAAAGTGGACACTCTTCTGGTCATTCACAGTCCCTCTAGGCACATACCAGTAGTTGGTAGTCGTGTGCTAGTGACCTCTGTGCTTGTCAATATGTGAACATGGCCTGGGAAAAGATTGGGCTGTCAATTCATACAGCACAGGCAGAGCTATGCCACCCAAGTCTTTCAAAATCCAACAGAACCAAGCTCTGGAATTTTGTCAGAAATTGCAAAGCATAGACTTTGCCATACACATTTTTTATGCTTACCTGTATGGACCCGAGGTGCACTTAAATGCTAATAGGCCTACATTTACATGTTTAAACAACCTCCTTTCTGCTCGCCTTTTCCAACCAATTGATGAGACGTGTTTTTTTCTTTCGGAGGGTCTTAAGCAATTGTTTCCCCTCAGGTCAGCTTATTTTTTCATTTCTAACTCTAGACGTAGACCACTGCAAACTGAAAAATTGGAGCACAAAGTCCTGTGTCTTAGAATTCCATGTTTTTATAGCCCTAACAGTCCCAAATCCTCTGATTTCAATGTGATTTTACACACACCCTAGGGTTAAATATGTCCAGTTGAATACCTCACTAAAGAAAGGCTCAACTGCATACCATGTTGGTCAAGTAGAGTTACAATTAATTGATTTCCTTTGCAACTCCTTTAAAAAATATTCAGTTTTTTTTTTGAAGTCAAGAAAGGTTTTGTTGGAGTCAGGCCCTTCTTTCAATTACATGTAGATATATTTGATTGATTCTATAAACTTTGTTTCTTTTTTCCCCTCGTTTCAGATTCCAGATTTCAACTAAAGGTCGAGCCAAAGCATCAGTTTTCTTTTTATCGTCCCAGTTCCACCACTTCATGACTCAAGATGTGCTGCTGTGCCATCGAGTGCGTCAAGTGCCTGCTCCTTTTCTTCGACGTTATTTTCTTTGTAAGTACAAGGACTGGTGCTTTCTCTGCTCGAGGGTTGTTACTGGGGCAGCAAAGGCTGCACTGGGATAAAATGTCCATGTTACATGTAGGTGAATAATTCCAAGCCACACATGGCCTGGATTCGTTTCTTTATACCTGTGAAGTATATATTGTGCTGTCTGACAAATATGGCTAGGATCCTTGCTCATCCTACAAAATCCTCCAATATATAGGAAACCAATGGCACATTCTTGTGCTTCAAGTTCAAGGGGCATCAAGCGCCATGTAAAGTACATGTAAGAGTGGCTGGGTTCTACCTTCCTCAATCCTACAAAATCCTCCACTGTGTAGGAAACCAATGGCACAATCTTGGCACTTTGCTATGAAAAAGATATTACCGGTACCAAAAAAGTTCCTGAATGCTCAGTAGTCAGTGACATTGGACAAATAGGGGCGAATTCATCCCCCCCCCACAGCCTGGCTTATTTAGGGTTACGTGTTGTAAATACATGTAGATAAATGCCAAGAAGACTTATGTACACTTTACATTCAAGGATTGATTGGGGGGGGCCCAACAGGGGCTCCGCCCCCCTCCCAAAAAAGAACTTCAGGGGTTGGAAAAATAATGAGAGAAAGGCATTTTTGATTTCCCTCCTTTCTGAAAGTGAATAAAAAGCCACAAAATGGAGCCTCATCCCTCAGAATAAGAGAAAACTTGAAATAATTTTCAAGGTTTTATGGCCTCCCAAATCAAGTTTGGCCCAGCCCCCTAATATGGATCGGCCATTATTTACATTTATGCATGATAACCCGTCTGTGACAACATGCACTATCTCATGTTTCCTCCAAGTGTCTTGACTCGTATTATTGACCAAACATCATCATGGCCTTCATGTCTTGCACTCGGTATCCTTTACCCATAATCCTCTCAGCAAAGGAATCCAATAACCTCATTTGGCATTCAATTCCAGGTCTTGTTGCACTAATTATCATTGAATAAACATGTGTCCCCCTTCATGCTGTGTCCCTCATCGACTGTGGATGTGAATTATCCATACAGACGTGCCAGGGATATCGCACAGCTCTTGTTACGCCATCTATCAAAATTCATTACCAGGCACACTATCCAATGATGATGTTTCCTGGCTACATGTATGTACCAGCTGAGATGTCGACTCGGGGGGAAATATGGTTCTTGCTTGTGCCCCCCCCCCGGGGATGTCTCTTCTGTCTGTTCAGAAAATCTTTGTATTGATTTAGGACTCCTGTACTTTTCATTAGAAATAATTGGTTGCTGATGTCAATGTCCTGCTGTGTTTGTTGATAGACATGTATGTACCGGTGCATTATATACATGGATGTACATGTAAATACATACAGGTGCATCTTCATGTTAATATTAATAATAATATTGGATATTTCTAATGAGCCAGTTTCTGCCTAGAGACGCTCATGGCGCAGCACATCAGAAAAACAAAAACATAAACTGTTAAGAAATTTAATAGCAGTTAACGAAGAAGTGAGTTTTCAAGGCAACTTTGAAGTCAGAGACTGAAGGCATTAGAGGGAGTATTGAAAGGTAGTTCATTCCAAAGATGAGGACCTCCATATGAAAAGATCGATCACCCCATGAATCGTGAGTAGGCCTACGTGTATGAGGAACAGCAAGCAAAGAGGCATCAGAAGATCTTAGGCGTCAGTGTTGAATGATTTTTATTTGGGCATTATATAGCCGTGTAGGGTTGAAAACTGTGGCTGCTTTTCATTAGAGCTGTCTGCAGAGCACAGTTGATGATTATATTACCCACAATTCCTTGTGGCATCTGCATTTCCTTCCCGTATCTTTCTTGTGAATGGAGTAACAGGTGTAGACCAGCATATGAACTGCCGCAGATATCCGTTCTGGTACAATGTAAGCACAGTCATTTGCAAACAACAACCTGAAGAAAAACCAAACGTTAACCAATCAATTATGGCACCTTATGTTTAGTTTCAATGTGTAACCGTAGTATCTTGGTTAAACAGCTATTTGACTACATTTCCATGATTTGAAATGTTAACAGCCTAATATTTAGTGGGCCCTCCTTTATTTCTGATGACTTAGACTAGATTATTTAACGCATGCTGCCTCACTGACAAAGTGACGCACAAGACCTGTCTTTGCAAAACATTTCACTCAAATGGGTACATATAGCACTGCACTGATGTTATGCACCACTGTAAAAACATGTGAAGTAATCATTCAGTGAGACAATGTAATGCAGGCCCAGTGACAGAAATACGCGTATGTGTACCAATAAGATTCCAGGTGGTCTTAAACTTTTGCAAATGACTGTAGTTTCAACTTGACCCATCTACCTGTACACTGTACATATTGTACATCTCGGTTGCCCACCATGAAATTGTCTCAGAACACAAATGATCGACACTTGAAACATTAACCATTTTCTCTAGGGCTGGGCTGGCAATGCTACCATCTCCATTTGCCACCTTCACTTCACCTCTCCACTGAACTATTGAGTGCCAGTCTTTTTTTTTTTTCCTTTTCTGAGAATCTAAGCCTGTTACAAATTGCCAGATATGCATGCACTATCCACCTGTCATCCTGGGCTTTGATACCCTCATCTTTATTAAGTTGTAAGTTGCAATGTAGATGCACATCCTTCAAACTTGATTTTCTCCAACACCGAGAAACCAGACCCACAGCTAAGTGATGATGCAAGTTGTCATACCCCCCAGGTTTATGTAAGGGGGATATTGCTGGGATTTAACTGTTTCTCAGGGCCACTTTGGCTGTCTCCGTGGACCTCTGCTCCCCCCAACACTGTAATTGCATTTGGTGCTCGGAGCTGTTATTCTTGTCAGTGCTGGCCCAAACCCTTCACTGTTAAAGGAGCAGGATCTCTTTTCTTAAATGCCAACATATTCAAAAGGAAAATCAAATCCGCTTTTATTTGTTCCTGGGGCAAGCAACAATAGAGAGAATTTATGTGACAAAAACGTAATGGCTTGGTGATCAAATTACTGTTTTCAAACTGGTGGTTGATTTTGGTTTGTTGCATGTAAATCTACGGTAAATCCATTCACGGTGTCAATGGGGGCAGATCTACTTTATTAAGTTTTGAGGTTTTCTCACCTTTTAACAGTGTGTATGTCTAAGCCCATGGAGCTTTGGTATAAAATGCCAGTTACCTGTTTACATGTACATGTGTAGGTCAGACTTCACTTATTGATTCTTAATCTTCTTGGGTGTAAGACTTTGGTTTTGAAGTTGCATGAAATTAAAAACAACAGATAGAAGTTAATATCACAAACTGGGGCAAATTAACAATGAATATTAATAAAGGAAAAAGCCAATTACATGTACGCTTTTGTGCATCCTCAACATTCTAGGATGCTTACAAAGAGGTCATTTTACTTCAATGTACACGTACGCAGAACGTTGTGGGTTCGAGTCACACCTGAGTGAGTCTGTGAATTTTTCACTGGTCAGTCCATGAAGGGGAGAATACCCATCAGGAAAGATAAGGAGCTTCTGTGTTTTGCGGATGGACATCAAGTTTCCTGCTTCAGACAGCTCAAGCACAACCAAGTTTGATTGATTGCACCTTCCAGGGCATAGTCTGCTATCCAGTATTGACTTGGTAATGATGGATGAGCCTGATCACGGAGGGAAGTAGGCCTTCATGTAGGCAGCTTACACCGACCTGTAGTTTGAACTCTTAGTCGCGAATTCATACATGTGCATGTGCATCAGCCAGTTTGTTTGCCAGATCATGCCAGCAGAAATCATCGGAGAGTGCACAGACCATTATGAAATGGATTACATGCTCAACGTGTGGAATTTAAATGTACTGAAAAAGACCTGGAGGGTTGAGAAATAGGCCAGCTAGATCTAGGTTTATCTGTCTACATGTACATGTATGTGGCGCAGGGATGGACGAGATATTACGCACAGTGAATAAGTACTCGGAGGCTGGGAGGTAGGCAAATGTGACTCTGGTTGACTGGTTTGGCTAACCAATCTAAAAAAAAATAATAAATGCATGATTGCACAACAGAAAGCTGGGCCAACTGTCTGGTTCCTGCCCCAAAAGTTGCATAAGAATGACACGCAGGAGGAACCTGGAGCCTGCTCTCCCCTACCCCACCTTACGTAAGAGCTTCATGTCAACCTTCTTCATGTGTGAGGTGTCAATTTCTGCCAGTGGCAATGTCAAGAGGGAAGTTGATGCATAACAAAGTGCCTTCTTTTGTCCACACAGAGGCTATAGCAAGAAAAAAATTGGTTCCAAAAAATCAATCAATTAACACATCATGATGGCTGTGATATTGCAGACCTATACCAACAGCAGGTGTAACTATGTACTATGTAGTTTCAAGGTGATTACATACACTGATGTACATTTTCTTTCTTTGCTTACCTTTTTATGTGTTTATTTAATCTTAGCATTTGCATAAAGGGACATGTACCTCTGTACTATGAAACGTGACATAATTTGCTTCTTGTTTTCCAGCCTGCCCTAGCCGATATTTTGATGCCGTAACACTGAAGGTTTTAAGAAAAGCTTTGGAAATTGGAAATAAAGAAAGGACAAATGTGTTTATTGTAGCGTAGTTTGAATGAGGAGCAGAACGGTTCAAAAGCCTTAAATATGGCCACAGTTAGTAGGAGCAGGTACCCTTTAAATGTTCCTCCTTTGATTTGAAATAAATGCCACCAATCGCTGTTGCTGTTGGTATTTTCACAATTCGACACTTCTTGTGAATCAGTATTTAAGAAAGTGCCCCTAGCGGTACATGTAGATCTCCTTATTTTCCTTGGCCAGGAGAGATTTGGAAAAACGAAAAAGCCAAACAAGAAAAAATTGCAAATTATTCCAAATGTACATCAAGAGGTTTATCTTGGAGATTGCTTCCTGATAAAAAATGTTTCAGTCTATCAAGTACATGCAAGCAATACAAACTGGAGTGTTTGCACTGTTTCCTGTTGTTGGTTGTTGAGGATGAGTCCGTCTGTCATTTCCAAGTCGTAGGTGGAACGTGCCTCGATGCTAACCTATCCTGGCATGCTGCTTCTGGTTTCCATCCACAGTTTACTCCCTTTGTAGAGCGATTTTTTTTCCTTTGCGGTTCAATACACTGCGGGTTTTGTGTACTGAGCTCGCGACAGACTCCGTAACTCAACCCCACCGCTGGACAAAAGGAGAAACCCAGAGGCAAGGGGGGTCGTTTGGATGGATTGACTGACATTCCAATCGCAAGGCACACAGCCGGCCCCCCCCCCGAAAAAGCATTCGTTTCAGCTTTTCATTGAGGCACTTTTTTGGCGAGCCAAATCTCCCAGGGGCAGAGCAGTCAATATAATCATACACAGAGCACTGGACATGCATATGATAGGCCTACATCTTGCTGAACCAAAATCTCGCATGATGTACCGTACATGTAATGTTATGCAGGATGAATTTTGTGATGCTCCGTCATGAATTAATTTCTGTTGTACAAAATGACTTTATTTCTCTCCTTGCTTTGACCAATAACCTGATCTGATATCATCAGTTGGTCTGAAAGCAATAAAATGCATGGAGTACTTTTTCTTTTTATTCAAGATGTTTTGAAGTTTTGGGTCCTAAATGATGCGGCAATAAAGAACATTTTGGTGGATGGAGAACATACATGTATTGCAAATGTCTGGTCAAGATTTCTGAGCAATTTCAACTTTCTAGTAGGAGTGTTTGCGTGTATTAATGATATGGACCATAGACATGTACATAAATTGTACAAACAATGTACATGTACAGCATGTGCACCTCAGGTGAAATTTTTACTGTTGTTTGGTTACTGGCATTTTTTCATAGAAACAATTAAAGAGCAACATGAATAACTATTAAATGTCATTGAATAAATTGGTTTCCTGACTTCATACATTGTGGTTGACATTTTGAAACTTGAACAAATTTCCCAAAGGAAAAAATCTGTACTTTGTCGTGGGCATTTCCCAAACTGTACGTTTTCTTCTTTGCATTGTAAATGTTTTCAGGATGCACGCATTTTCGTAGATGAAGTCTGTACTGGTGGGCCTGCTTTCCAAAACTCACATTGTGCCATATTCACGGCTATATTGTCTACAGTGTACATGTATGTACATGTAGCCAGTGGTACAGTAGTTTGTCTTTTGTCCAGGGCTCCACGCAGTACACCGTCAACATTCAAGAGCCTTGCACTAGCAGTCACAATGCAATTCACAGGCCAGTCACATGCATTATTTTCATTGTTAGTCATGGATTTCACGGCCGTCATCTATTCCTTCCGCTCGGCTTGATGGTGACAAAGACCTAGGACAAAAAGACGATGACGCCAACCTTAGAAGCCCAAGGTTGAAACGGGGAGTCATCTTGGGTTAGCAGTTTGAGGTCAATTTGGTGACAGGAAAAATGGAGCAGTATAAATTTACAAGCTTTGTGAACAAATAATTCGCGCTGGAAAATTTCATTTTAGTGGGTTGTCATTGTGTTTGTCATGTCGCGGTGATTGTTGGAGTGCTTTTTATAGAAAAAAATTTTCAAGTGAAATTTATTTTCTCCTTGACTTATTTTCCTTCATTCTTTGCATAGCTTTTTAAAATTGACCAGTCCATACATGTCTAACTTGCATTTTCATAATAAGATGCCTTGATTATAAAATGTGGTGTGTTGATTCTCTTAAACTAACAAGTGACTTTGTTGTCAGTGGTCTTGGGAACAGGTGCAATGGAGTGTGATCATGACAGAGAATAAGCCAGTTTGGTATTTCATAAAGGTCTTTTGGGGAACAAAGGGTGCGCGTGAGTCAGCATATGGCACTGATAGGACAGACTATTACGCATGCGTACAGGTACATGTAGCTATTCCTGAAAAGCCTCGTACTGGGCATGCTCTGTTGGAATATGGAACTGACTCATTGTGCACTTTTTCCCTTTGCTTGGAATGGGTTCTTTGATATGAGTAGTCAGGTACCCGTGTTTTATTTAATAGGCCGACCCCCTTTTTTGTACATGTTATGTGTACACTTTTGCCCTACTGCCCCATACCACACCTAATGCAAAAGCTACACTCCTCAATAAAGTTAAGGACCACTTTTTATTTTGTGTATACTTTTTTAATGTGAGATATTTTGCTGCTGAAAATGTGCATTTGATGTTTGGAAACAGTTTTTCAAATTTTATATTCTAATGAGAACATCTAGACAAAAAGAAAATGTAAGAAACTAGACCCTGCTCATTGCTTGGGAAAAAATTTGTTAAAAAAGTTAGTGTTTAAAAAAGAGTTAAGGAAAAAGTGGTCCTTAACTTTTTTGAGTAGCTTACAGGTATTTATGAGCAGGCATTCAAATTTTCCTTGGATCAGCTGATGCCCTCATTTTTCACTTCACGCGCTTGCGATTGGAAATTGGAAAACACTTAAATACAAAGTCTTGTAAGGATTTGGAATTTCCTCACTTTTTATCAAAGTTCAAGTTGCATGCCTTTATGAAGGAATGAAATTTTAAAGGTTGTGAGTATCCCGGCACATGTACACCTACTGTAGTTGGTCATTCAGGGTTTCTTCTGGTTACTTTGACAGCTGACTGGTGTGGCGTTGCTTGGAGTGGGAATACACGTCCTAGTTGGTGTCGTTAATGGAACCTACGCATCCCTGATTGCTGGAGTGTCCTACATCTACATTACCTATGCCATCCTGGTCATAGCATTTATCATCATTATTGTGTCTCTGATTGGCTGCTGTGCCGGTGTGCTAGAGAATAAATGCCTGCTAGTGACGGTAAGGATGCATACATGCCCCATCATTGGTGGGATTGATTAGTGGGGGGGGGGTTACGTTTATTCATGACACTGGGATGTACAAAAGACTGTTTATTGGGTTTGATTATTTCAGAATGTAGCCGTGTGAAAACAGATCTTGTGAATGCTGAAAATATTTGTGCTAGTTTTTCAATCCAATTTGTGACCTAGGGAATCGGGAATAAGTCGCAAATTGGCTTTTTGAGATACGTACAGTTGGTTTATTTCCCTTTGTTGTATCTTGGAATTCCTATCTACAGTTCTACTTCTTTGTGGTGTTTTGCATCTGCCTGGAGGTCTCGGTTGCAATCATAGCCTTCGTGGGCTTGTGGTACGAAGATGATTTTGTGGAGGCGTACATCATCCAAGCCTCGCGGACGGAGATGGCAAACTATGGCCATAAAGACAAAGCTGGCTTCAGCAATTCTTGGGACAGACTACAAACCGACGTACGTTGTGTCTTTACTAAAAAAAAACTAGCATGTTGTAAGAAGGTTTTTATCAAATTTGGTTCAACTTCTGCGCTTGTTTGACAGTAATCTTACATGTAAATGAGTTAGCAGAAGTTACTATTCCGTCGTGTTTCATTTATGCAAACAAATCAAATTGCTTAAAGAGAGGTTTCAAGGATTTGTTTAGTATTATATTTTGAAAAGTGAAATTTGATAAATTATTATTGATGTTATTCTGTAAAAGTAGATTTCAGGTTGGTTTATTTCACAGAGGTGTTGAATGAAATTAACTTGGTGGTTGGACCCTTAAGCCACTATGAGTTTATTACTGTACATGACATCTGATCTAAATTTCTTGGAGTACAAAATGTGTGAGACCTGATTTAGCAAGTGAACATATAATTCAGGCACTTGCCAACAAAAAAGTTGTTGAACCACAGAGGGCAGCAAACAGGTTTTGTGGATAACCTTGGTTGACCCTCTTGTGCTGTAAAAAGATATGAGCTACTGTTGCATATATGCAGAGTTTAAGATATTTATGAATTCATACCTTGGGTCAAAGTTTGGTTTGCCATAGTTGACTCTGGAACTTTTCCAGTGGTTGCAACATAATGACAATGTTTGGTTTAACTTAGCTTTTTATGTCGTATCAATAGGAGCAATGCTGTGGTGTCCTTGCATCAACCGACTGGCATGAATATGGAAATTTTGATGCCGCAGACACTCCCGACAGCTGCTGTAAGGAGATCCGAGAAGGGTGTGGTTTAACCATCGGTGAACCGTGGGAAAAGGTGGGTGTGTTGTGGGCGTGGTTGGTGCGGATGTGGCAAAACAAAGATAGACAGCTACATGTATGACACATACTGTACAATTTTACAGTGGGGTGTGGCACCACCAGCTGTGAACCTTTGGAAAAGTTGGGTGTGGCTAAATAGACAAATTTTAATTTCTTCTGTAACGAGGTCAGAAAAGACTGGTTTTTATCCATCAGTAATACACTCGTAATCTGGGGGGTGGCCTGTGTGGGCGTGGCCAGCACTTAATTTAAAGTGAGAGGTATTTGGGGATAATCTTCTCTCTCAGAACAGAGATGCTCCTCGTTGTTTTTTGTTTTATATTTATGTGAAAGATAAAGTGAAAGTTTGAGAGTTTGCGTTTTTTTTTTAATTTTTGTTGACAGAGCTGCGGTACTGTGTTGATTGACAACGTAAACAACGGACTGTACCTGATTGGTGCCATATGTATTGGATGTATCCTTCTCCAGGTTGGTACGGTAGCAGCGTAGGGTAGTGGGGGTGAGGAAAGTCTTAGAATTGTGATTTCACTCCGGGGGTGCAAGTGCAGAACCCTAGGGGCACACTGCAACGTATTATACAACAGCAGAGATATCGTAACTTTCACTTAGTCACCACATTTAATTAGAAGTGCGAACATGTTTCACGGCATTGAATCACGCGCAACTTGAGAAAACAGGCTTTAAGATGTAGAGTCTTCATATAGGCTAACGCATTCCTTTTGAACGTTTTTGTCTTGTTCACAGATGAAAGATTTATTTTCTTGCCAAAAAAACTTTAAATTCCACGCAAAAATTCACTCTCTCAACTTTTAGCGGGTCATGGCACATGAAAGCCTAGCGCACCGTCTGTCACCCTCACCGGGAGCAGTTTACAAATGCTAAATGAAAATAACTTCCTTTCCGTTTAAATGGGACATGTGTGCACATTGAAAGAACTCATTAACTTCATGTAAATTCTGGCAGCCAGTACAAAACCTGTTGACAGCAATCGAAACCAGAACAAAAAATTTTTTAACTATGCTATTTTTAAGCTGTGTTGGTTGAGACAGGTGCTTTAATTTTATAGTTGGTCTTTAGTGGTAGTCTCACATTATTTTTTTAAAATTTTGTCAACTGCTTTCCTGTTTTGAATTTGCCAGATTCTTCTCATAATTTTCATCTTGGCCATGTACTACATCCTGAAATTTGGCAGTGGGAAGAACCGATGCTGTGGTACCTATTACTACGACATGGACTAGGCCAGCTCAGTCCTCCAATCCAATCATGAGTTGAGTGAAGTGGGTGGGGCTTAGTATTCGCATTATTGCTGGATTACAGATTTGATTGGATAGTTGATTTGATCTGGTGTGTGAATGGTTTGGAGGTTGACTGGTGACATTTTGCTCTCCCATGAAGTAAAGTGGGCTGGGTTTATTATTTAAATTCAAGTTGGATTGAAAAGTGGACAAAAGGGTATTATATGTAAATTAACAGGCATCCACTGAAATTTCCTTTGAATATGCATATACTGAAATTTTCAGTTTTTAGTGGGCGTCGTTTAGTATTTAAATTATGTCTGACCCATGCTCCAATAATGTGTTGGTTGACTAATAACGATATGTGTACTTAGGGATAAACTTTGGTTGGCAGTGGTGCCTGCTATCAAAACTCTTTGAAAAGTGGTACATTATTTAACAAATTGACTGATATTGACCTGCATATGTATTCACAGTAGTGCCGGCTTTTTAACTATATCCTACATAATTGGTTAAAAGTTCGTTCACTCACTTTTTGAAAAACTATTTTGCACACTGAAGGGTATATAATTTTGTCTTAGATGTAAATACTCGTAAACAGTAGTCCTGTTGTTTTTCGGTGGATCTGTAAATATTTTTGTACTTGTTTGTAATTTGTTCCCCAAAATACGTTCCGTTTGTAAAAGAAATACATAAATGGAGAGGAATCTCACAGTCCCCCCCCTTGTCTTTGTTCAGTTCAACATTCTCGTCATGTTCGTTAATAATTTAGGCCACAAGGTTGTGGTAAGCACAGAAAATTCGAGCATAAATAGCCTTTCAAAAAATGAAGTGACTGATCTGCAGGTTGTTGACTTGAGGTTTTCTATTATTTTTGGTTTTAATCCGGAATGTGACCCCAGAAGTAACGATTTCGTGATTGAGTTTCAGCGCTGCATTTTTCTATTTTGTTGGGCTGAAGACCAACTAGTGTTGTAGTGTGACTATTCTTGAAGCCCTGTGCTGTAAATTTCAAGGTAGTGCTTTGTGTGGCCATAGGGAACGTATTTCTGTACGTTCCTAATTTTTTTCTAATCTTTTTTATTTGTAAACATGCCAATCTTTTTTGATCTGTGGTGTCTCTGGTGAATTTAACCATAAATGCAGTGTTGACTTTGGTCTTTAGTATTCCAAAAGCGCCAATATAAGAACTAGTTTTGTATGAAACGCCTCCAATGTCTAGTTTGTGCTTTTTGTCTGTGCGGTTTCAAGTAGTTACGTTCACCACGTTTCCAGGAATATTACGTAGATCAACCGCAGGATCTGGCTACAAATTGGAAATTTATCTAATGAGAGACGTGCTTCTTTGCCGTCTGATTGGTTGGGCTGACTTGTATTTAAATGCAGATGCGATACTCATTGCGCATGCGTAATTATTAAAATGAAGTTGACGTCTAGCCTGGCTTCATAGTCTAGCAGTTGAGTTAGGCATGCACAGTATGCATGTAATACGATAGCACTTTTATAAAAACTGCTTGTACAGCGTATTGTTACTAAGACCCAATTGGGGGCGTACTTTGAAATGCCTATATCTGCCATAGTCTCGTTTATACATGGTGCTTGACTATTCCTACAAACGTTCTCGCCCTTTCTTCATATCGTCATCATTTCCGACCCAAAATAACCTTTTGGTTATTCAAGTGCGTAATTTAGCTGAAGGAATGTTGATTTGCCGTTAATTATTTTCCCAAATCGTATAGAATATCGACACCACGCCCAGGGTCAAACTGTGCCGGGTCGAATAGGTCAGTTTCGCTACCTGGTCTCTCGAACTGGTATAAAATCAGTCAATTGAATTTGTTACCTACAAACGGCTTCCTGACATTCAAGTTTGCAGTTGCAGTGTGCTGTTGAATCGAACGATGAAAGCTTTCTACAAAAACATGTTTACTTGGGAACCGATCAACGCACGTACGGCGTGGATAGTAGCGGCATAAGGTGTTACAAACGCACGTTTGGCGATTTTACCGAGAGTAGTGTTTGGAGCGTGCGCCACCAGCAAGCATGGGCGGGGTAGTCAAGCCGCTGGCCGGTATGGAAGTCTTGCTGTTACTCGCTGTCGTCGGAGTCGGCTTGGCGGTATTCCTCACTGTGTTGCAGTCCATGGTGAGCCAACATTCCTCTGGAAAATCCACTGGCTATCGAAGGCTGGCAAATTGTGTTTTTAATCTCATGATAATTGGCCCTCGATCGGTGATTTCAGTCATACTGTTTTCAACTACAGTTACGTCACAGATTTACCTGACCACAAGTTTCATGCACTTTTTTAGGGTAACGGAAACACTAAAAATCGAGATAGCTTTGAAGTGCATTCTTTCCTTTATTTGTAACGACAGCAGCTTTGGCTATTACATTGGCTATTGTATCGTAAACTTTTTACAAAAATCATCATCTTGCAGCCCGGACTTGTTAGCCGAAGGAGGGCTTGTAAATAAAACGATTTTTATGGGATTTTCTAATCTTTCCAGACTGAAGTTCCAAATGCCGCTTGTCTGCCGTATACAGAGGTGACTTTCCAACGTGATCCACCCGTGGCTTGGGGGAATATAACCTTCAAACCCCCTGGCGATAATGCAAAATGCGACTTCTGCTTAGCTACTCAGGTTATAAGTCTTTGCTTCGCTTTAGTCTGCGCTCTCTACCGGGGCGTGACAATCTGCGTTGAGAAGCTCGATCTGTAAGTCAGCTTTTGATTGGTTGATAAAGTTCCAGGCAGCTCGTGACTGGTCAGTCACTGAAATAATTATGCATGATGCATAACTGTGAATTGGATTGATTGATATTATGATTAATATTCCAACGGTGCCTATTAGCGGAAGAGGTGTGACAGCGAAACCTTTCATTTTTCCCAAAAGTGGCGTCTTCATTCCTTCCTGGCAGGCCCCTTTTTCACAAAAGGCGCATGCGCTTGAAACTTCATATTTCCAAATGTTGGTGTTACTTTTTCAGAAAGCTGGTGCGAATTCTCTCCATTCCGCTGTATCTTTTGTCGGCTGCTTTTGCCTTGATTGAGAGCGCTGTCCTTCAAGTAGGCTTCAACAACTTCTGCAGTCAACTGACATCGTATGCTGGGTCGGACAAAAAGTGAGTAGTAGCACGTTTATCTACGACGACAATTTCATAGCTTTCTCTGTGTGGAGATGATGCGTTGGTAATGTCTCAGACGCTGTACACGTACCGTATGTGTCACTCCTATCCAACGTGCGGAAATTAACGACTTCGATTATGCGCGGCAATTACTTGACCAGACCTTCGTGAACCATACGGCCTAGCCGATCTTCCGTTGAGACTTCTCGTTTTGAAGACTTCGTTTGCACAAAATTAACAAACGATCACATTGAAACTCTTTATATGTGCTCTAGAAGGCTTAAACCGAATAAAACACAACAGAGTCGTGAAAAGAAATGCTACATGAATATGAAATTTAGCCTTAAAGTGGAGGCTAAGATGATAAAATATTTCCATTTTCAATCGATCTCTTGGTCTTTTTTCCACTAAATTTCTCGATTTGAAATGAAGGAGCTGCTTGCCTGGCACGAATTCTCGTGGCCCTCATTATATATGTAAATGCCCCGAAAATGAGACATGCGCAGTTATAATTTCCCTGTGAACTGCACAAAACATTACTCAAGTTTTCTCAGAGGAAGAAAGAAATACCCTCTAACGTGACGTCATGCGCATGAGGTCTATAGTTTGTGTATGGCCTGTCTCTGGCGTATTTTTTCCCAAGGTTTTACATCTTTAAAACAAGTTTTACGAACTGATAAGGTTGACAAACTCCAGTTGTGGTTGTAATGTTCACTCTTAGGTTGAAAACTAAACTTGAGGTATTTTTCAATGAAGTTCAAGTTACGGAGCATAGAAACGATGGAACTAAACTGGAAATCCATGCTCACTTTTAATTCCATGATCTTGAATGCTTTCCGTTGGAAAAGGGCTCGGGTCCCATAATGATTTTCTTATTTCTTTTTTGGATGACTTGACAACAGATGCGAAACCGCGGAGAAATTCATCGCTGGATTACCTGACTGTCCCGAGTCTGAGTTTTACTTCGTCGGGAAATTGTCGATCGCCACGGTATGTAGGCTACTGACTTCATGGTTTTGAGCCGATGCGTGCAGGGGCAGCAAGTAGTTGCAATGGTTGATGACCGAAAGAAAACCTTGGTTTCCGCGAGTGTTCCACATGTGCGAGAATCAATGCCTAACAGTGTATAATACTGTGCCACAGTAAAGCGCCCTCTCGTTTGGAGTTAGGGGGCGCTTCAGTCGAGTTCGGGCGGCCTGGTCTTGACACGGGTTTCCTGTTTGCTGCACTCGAACGGCAGGAACAAGAACCAAGAATACTGTTTTCGAACTCGAATCACACATTACCTCCTCGTTGGGGTTGTACAGGAACATGCGGAAAAACTCGTGAGATTTTGTTGTTTAAACAGCAGCTAAAAATAGCGAGATGTCTTACAAAGCCGCAGAAAATGTGAAGGTTTGCTCAATTAATTGATACTAATAATTTTCCATAACACAGAAATGGATGTTCCTTTTTAAAGCCCGGTTATCCAAACACGAACTCTCGAAAAACGTACATGGACGCCGCCATGTTGCATGTTGCTTGCCACTAGCTACCAGCGATAACCAGTTGCATGTTCCCGGCGTTTGAGCGGCCGACTCACCAACAACAAATCGCGCTGTTCATGCACACGAGAACAAGCCGCCTAAACTCAGCCTTAAGTTTGTGTCGTGTTGCAAACTCGCAGGTCTGGTTTCCCATTGTAGTAACATTTCGTTAAACGTGATGAACTTGGCAATGGTGCCGAAATACGTCACTCAATGTGTTTGGGAAAAATAATCAGTCCACTTCACTGCAAAAAAGAGTAATTCAGTGGGCTGACATCGATCTGTCTTATCATTACAGGGTTTCAGACTCACGGTACAAAATAAAACCAGTAGGAGACGACTTCAGGTCATACGTGTTGGGTCAGCGTGAAAAAATTTCAGCCAAATTTCAGGACTTTATACCGATGGCTCTTGTTATTTTTCGTCAATAGAGGGCGTCTTGGATCTCCATGGGCTTCTGGCTCCTGCTCACCATTTTGACGATCGTGAGCTTCGTCGCAAGTCGCAAGAAGCAGTCGGTACCAGTGAAGTCCTAACCGCATGTCACGTGTCTGCATCGGCTCTGGGCTTGACCAGGCCCTCATTGGTGAAAGTGCGTCCAGTCTGCATTAATCGAATAGACCTTTCATGTATGCATCATTATTTTACAAATTTGACCGCCATTTTGTACGGTTTACTGTAAGCTCATTCTCAGTTCTCTGCTACTTTTGCCTCAAAACGAACATTTTGCTCCATCGATGTCAAAATAGGAATTAATGTCACTTTGATAGTGTTTAGTACAAGTATTTATTATTCGGTGTCTTGATATTTAAGTTTAGGATTGTAAACTCTTTTTGAATTATTATGTTTTGTTATGGAAAGTCATAGTTATATCTGTGGCCCAGCAGTTGATAAACTGTGCTCGTGACGTTATAAAGAAATGTCTAGAGAGGTTATACGTTAACGCGTCCCCAGAGGGCAAGAGTTTTGTATTACGAGGGTGACATCACTCCAATCAGCCAATGGTCTATCCAGATTCGTTTCCACGGAGACCGATGACATTTCCTGGTTCATATTCACGGGACAACTGAGTTTGCGACCTCGAGAATAGGAGAAAAAGTGGATTGATGAGCAGCATTCCATTTTGTCCTTAAATCTTCCCGACAAAAACTGGTTTGGATGTCGTTTCTGGTAACATTTTATTGTGTTAAATAGTGGCAAGACTCTCCTAAATTGGGTCTTGAATAGTTTTACAGTGTTATCAAATACAATACACACATCAGCGCTGTTCCATTCCATACAATACACACATCAGCGCTGTTCCGTTCCAGTGCACAACGTGATTGAGAGATACCATGCACCCAGCCATAAATCTCGTTGGTGTCGCCCTTGAATAGTATGGTTTCACTTTTCAAACAGATTTCCTTTTTGTGCTTCATGAAAAGACTTTATTTCCAGAAGCTAAAAAAGTCACTTTAATGTTTGTATAGTAAGCGATCGGAAAGCTGTGACATTAAATTCAAAAGTATAGCTAGGTCTATGTTCGCTTATTAAAATCAGAATTTCCAGTAAACAATAGTCACGGAGTATTTCCAAATTTCAGAGAATTCAAAGAATATTCAGAGAATAGATGCCAAGGATTAAATTTAAGGCAAACAGGTCAAAGAATTGATGCAAAAATAACAATATCCTCCGATAAAAAGTGCCTTAGTTCTGGTAAATCCTTGGATTTTGTTTGCGCTTTTGCTTATTTTTGTCCATTTAAAAATAAGATGTGTGCCTTTCGTACGCGTAAAATGGTAAGTAGGTTTGTCGTACGTATCAAACTTCCCCAACCGCAGAATAAGTTGGCATCTCCTCTGACCTAGACAACGGATTTGGATTCGACCTTTGGAAATTGAAAATGCAGTGACAACAGACGTGGCTATACGTGGGAAGCCCATTTCCGACACTAAGACGCAAAACAATGCTGTGCGTTTTAGCGCTATCTGATCTCCTGTGTCCATGCAAGATATGGGGGCGGAGAGAACCCCCCCCGCCTTTGTGTTGGTCATTGTGTGATCGGAATCTCAGGAATTCTTTACAGACTTCCAGGGGGATCGATGTGTTAGGTAACAATAGTCTAGAGTGTGTGTATCGGGATTGGACAGGTAAGGGGGTAACCCTCCATCCCATATCTTGCCTGGTATAGTGTAAGTCCTTTTTGTCCTACCTACACGGTGGAATCATTTAGTCTTCAGTCCAAACGTTGAATGAAGGTGTCAGCAAAATGGGTCATGTTGTTAACCCGTTTGTAATTGTTAGGATTTTCTTCCTGGAGGTGGCATGAGCGGATGCTTTGACGGGGGTTGTTCCCCTCCTGGAAACACAGGTAGGATTGTAATGTTTCAAATAATTAGTTATCCTTATGTTAGTCAGGATATATCTAATTATGTGACAAAGAATTATTCCGTTATGCAGTTATTCAAATGGCATGCTTTCTGACGTGAATGTTGCACATCTCTCCTGCCATCGAGGCTTTGCATGGCAGCCATCTTGCAGGGCAGTTCTTTTGTTCCACAGGGGAACCTCCTTTGTGCATGCCCTGTGGAACAAAGCAACTATCCTGTAAGATGGCTGCCACGCAAAGCCTTTGGGGTCTCGTGCATGCAAACTGTTGAATGCAATTCAGTCGCGGATGTGGATGTACCAATCAAGGCGTGGTCGATGGTCCAAGTGGTATCAATCTTCAACACTTAATCATGTTTAACATTATTTCACATGACGTGTAGCTAAAATCCCTCAACTCAATGTTTAGAGCATGCGATCAGGAAAGTGTGGTTTCTAAAAGTACACGTACGGTTATTGAAATCGTGTTTCAACGCGTTGACCAATCACAGGGCGCAAAATTTGTTGACCCAACGAGGGTTTGGAAAGGGTCGACAGATTTCACGCCTTGTGATTGGTCAACGCGTCGCAAAGTCTTGGAGGCGCAGTATTGTGATTCGTTATCGCGCTCAATTTGATCGCGTAAAGTACGGTAACTTGGTTGAACATTATTAGGGGTTACCACGCTCGTGGGCAGGTGAGCGTGCGGTTTCATGCTTGTCCTACCAATCCGGTTCGTAAGTGACTTCGTCACAAAGGCGGACGCGCCACGATTCGCAGGCTCCCATTGGACGATCGCAGAAGTTGCCCGTTAACTTCCAGTTCCATGGTTCCACATAAACGGCGATCAATGCATGTAACCCTATGTGTAGTGCACGTGTGCAGTGGGCGTGGTTTAAACTGAACTGACGTCACACTTACGAACCGGATATGGTGTTGTGATTTGCCAAATAAAAGCGTGCGTCCATCTTAAAAACGTGCACGT